CAATTAATTCAACTATTAATAATTTATTATTTAATTATCATTATATTAATATAACAAGTTCACTTCCAATTTCAGTTCATTTTGAAATTCATTCTTTAAATAAAAGTCTTGCTTATTTATTTATTTATAAATTTGACCAAACACCGCAATTAAATAGTTCAATTAATCTCATTGATGGATGGACAATGTTTTGTCCTTTCAGTATGTTTTCTTTTGTTTAACATTCATATAGATTTCGGTTTTGTAATAATAGATTTAACCAATGATGATATATATCGATATTTTATTGATAATCAACAAACACCTGGTCATCAATCATTAATATTTGGAATAAGAGAATTAAATTCAACTGAAATCAATAATTATTGTTTGAATAATTCTTCACTAGATACGTCTTTACCAATCACTGATGAACCATATGATTTTACATCAAATTATGAACTTCTTATATATACATCAGGTTGTTATTATCTTGATGAAAATAATAATTGGAAATCAGATGGATTAATAGTTGGTCCTTTGACAAATCTCTATGAAACAGAATGTCTCTCAACTCATTTAACAACATTTGCTGGTGGTTTTATTGTTTTACCTGCACCAATTAATTGGAGTTATGTTTTTGCAAATGCTGATTTTATGAAAAATAAAACAGTTTATTTAACAATGATATTTACTTCGATATTTTATATTATTTTAATGATTTATGCACGTTTTAAAGATAAGAAAGATTTTGAAAAAGTAAACTAAAAACATTATTTTATATATTTCATAGAGTGAAAATTTGTGATTTTTTTTAGTTGGGAGTAACACCATTAGCTGATAATAATAAATCTGATCATTATTATTATCAAATTCTTGTTTTTACTGGTCAAAGAACAAATGCAGGAACAGAATCAAAAGTAAGATAGTACAAAGAAAATACCTTAATGAAACTTCTTTTTTTCTTTCTGCAAGGTTTATTTTGTCTTATCGGGTGATAATGATCAAACACAAATTCGATTATTTTCTGATCCTCATCGAAAGATTTTTCAACGTGGTGGAATTAATTCTTTTATTATTGCTGTTCCAAAGTAAAATTTTTTTTTTTTTTTGAAGATTTTATAAAAGATTAACATATAGATCATTGGGATTATTAAATTATATTCGTATTTGGCATGATAATACAGGTGAAGGTTCTTCAGCATCATGGTTTTTAAAATATATTATTGTTCGAGATTTACAAACTTTGGATAAATCTTATTTTATTTGTCAACAATGGCTTGCAGTTGAAAAAGATGATGGACGAGTAAGTCGTGTAATTGAAAACATACTATTTCTTATTTTTATCTTGAATTTAGATTGAACGAACTTTACCAATTGCTAGTGAAGCAGAAAAGCAAAACTTTTCATATGTATTATCGAAAAAAGCTTATCATAGTGTATCCGATGGTCATTTATGGTTTTCAATATTTTCTCGTCCACCATCAAATAAATTTACTCGTGTTCAACGATGTACTTGTTGTTTTGTTTTATTCTTTACTTCAATGTTACTTAATATAATGTATTATGATTTATCAAATGAAGCGAATGCATCAAGTGAAACACATACTGGTGCTTTATCAATTGGTCCTTTTTATATAGCACCACAACAGGTATATATTGATTTCTATAGCAAAAAAATAGACTATACCCATATCCTTATGCCTCTGAAATTTTCAATTTCTGATTAATGAAAGCATTTTATATATTTAAGATTGGAATTGGCATAGTCGTCGAATTATTTACATTAATCCCAAGTCTCTTAATTGTTCAATTCTTTCGACGTATTCGACCTCGTCGACAAATTGCACCAATACGTGAAGCATTATATAAGATACAACCATCTCGAAAAACGTTTGTATATATATTTCTAAATACATTCATTGACACTCACATTCTTAATTATAGTAGTTCGGAAGATGTCCCTGCAACTAAGAAAAAAAAATCTTCAATAACATTTCCTTGGTGGTGTTTATTTATTGCTTATGGTCTTTCAATGATAATTATTACTGTGTCAATATTTTTTATCATTGTTCGAGGAATTGAATTTGGTGATGTGAAAACTCAACAATGGTTAACATCTGTTCTTACTGGGTTTTTTTCATCGATTATTCTTACTCAACCTATTAAAGTATACTTGCTAATTTCTTCTAACCTATATTTTTGAAATGTATTTTATTATAGATTATATGTTTGGTTATATTCTTCATATGTTTTTGTCGAAATTCAAAAGATGAGAAAGAAACAAGTGAATATATAAATGAAGATGATGAATTTAATATATCTAATGATGAGGAATATCTTCATTCACTTGAGGTTTGTTTTCTTTTACAATCCCATAAAAAATAAATTCTCTGTATATAGTATCAATCATTATTTTCTTCTCAATCTCGAAAAAGTATTAATCGTCTTAATGAAAATGAAATTATTTATGCTCGTGATCAACGTTTAAAAGAAATTCAAATGTGGGCAATTATTCGAAAATTTCTGACTTATTTTATATTTGCAATGTTAGTTTTTTTAATAACTTATTCAAATCGCGATCAACATAGTTTTTTTCAAGTCAATCATTTACGATCTTATTTTCTCAATCAAAGACAAACTACTGTTGATTATACTAAAGTTTGTTCTTCTTTTCTTGTATTGAAAATGAATTTTGCTTTTCTAGATCAATACAATCGATGAGTATTGGTATTGGTTGGAAAATAGTTTTGTTTCAAATATTCGTGCGCAACGATGGTATAATGGAGATATTCCACAATATTTAAATGGATTCTTAAATGATAAATCTAATCGATTAATTGGCTGGGCAACGATAAGACAATTACGTGTTAAATCAGAATTATGCTCCGACCAACGTATTATTTCAATATGTGAAGATAGTTATAGTTTTTCCAATGAAGAAACAGAATTATTTCAACCAGGATGGACAACAAATGCAACGACCGAAGAATTCAGTTCACCAGTATTAAAAGCATTTAACTATTCTACGAGTGATGAATTAGATACATTTGCGTATGCAGGTGAATTTGGAACATATAGAGGAGGTGGTTATGTTTATGAATTTCGTGGTCGTTTATCTGATATGAAAACAAATTTATCTAAACTTCATCAATTAGAATGGATTGACGAGAAAACAAGAGCTATTTTTATTCAATTAACATTATATAATCCAAGTGTTCAACTATTAACTGCCGTTACGTTACTTGCTGAATTTTTACCAACTAGTGGCATCTATACAACAGCTCGTTTCGAACCAATTAATTTCTACAGTAATTCACTCTTTACTTTTTATTTCTAAAGACAAATAAATTTTCGTTTTTCAAATTTAGCATTTCAATCAATATTACAATTAGTTTGCACAATTGTTTATATATTTTTTATAATATATTTTATTATCATTGAAATTCGATTATTACTTGAATTAAGATTAAAATATTTTCATCAATTTTGGTCAATAATTCAATTAGGTATCATTGGTTGTTCATTGGGCAGTATTGGAGTTTATTTTTGGCGTTTTCAAGAAACTAATCGTATTAGTCAATTATTTGAAGAAACAAATGGATATATTTATATCAATTTACAACTTGCAGTTTATGTTAATGATATTTTAACATTTCTTCTTGGTTATTGTTGTTTTTTTAGTACGATTAAATTTGTCCAATTATTTCGTTTTAACCAACGAGTATCTTTATTTGCTGAAACATTAAAATATTGTGCAAAGGCATTGATTTCATTTTCACTGATGTTTGCAATTGTATTTATGGCATATCTTTGTTTATTTTATTTATTATTTGTATCAAAACTTTCGTCCTGTTCAAGTTTATTAAACACTGCTCAAATGCTTTTTGAAATGACATTAATGAAATTTGATGCATCACAAATGATGGGTGCCGATGCTTTTCTTGGTCCATTCTGTTTTGCTTTATTTATGTTTCTGGTTGTTTTTGTTTGTTTAAGTATGTTTGTTTCAATCATTAGTGACAGTTTTCGTCATGCGAAAGACAATCAAAAAGAAGATCAAATTATGCTTTCATTTATGCTAAAGAAATTTTTACGATGGTCAGGTATGTAGATTTATATGATTTATTTAGATCAGTTGAGATCTCATTGGTATCTTGAGGGTGTGGGTGAATGTGAGTATGATAAAAGAGAAGATTTCGACACTTACTCTCAAGATTGATGTATTTTAGTAGAACATAGTTGTCTATTAATATTTTAGGTCTGAAAAAATTAAATCAAGAAGAAATTCAAGAAGAACGAGATTGTCGAATGCATTCACAGTATTTTGATCCAATTGAAAATTTTCCTGATAGAATGGATGAGTTTCTAGAAGCACTCAATAAAGTATGTAAATATCTATTGTATTTTTATTTGTAATTATTTGCTTTCTTTTAGATTTATATTGACCAAAAAATCGAATTATCAAGACTGGAAAAAGCTGGAGTTTAAATATTATCTTTCAAAAATGACTAATATTCATATAATGAACTCTGAATAGATTTTCAATTTTTTTTCGAAATAAATCTTTCAAATTAACCATTTGTTTGATATCTGTAACATGAAAGACTAATGGATCACTTTTCTCACTGAATACTTATTTCAAAATCTATGTATTCTAATTCCACACAAAAGATTGAAACTTTGTTAAAAAAAGCATTATATTACAAATCTTTGACTTTTCTACATTAAGAAAAATTTTTTCAAAAATATCACTGATAATTGTTTATCTATATTAGTTTTATATTACAAAAACGAGTTTACTATCAATGCAAGAAAAACTTTGGTTTTTAGAAAAGAAAAAATAGATATTTCATTTGATTACGATTCTTTTCATAATTATTATTCGTTTCTTGATGCATATTTTCTTTTATTTTTTCTATTCTGTATGTATACGAAGCAAAAACGTGCTTTTATGTACATCAAAAAGTAAATTACAAGTAACCTATTCATTATCGAGCTGTAAAAAAATCAAATTTTGCATGTCGTTATCACCATCATTTATAAGATTTCTAACAGAAAGACGATCCAGACGTAGTGATCCTTGCGTTAAAGTATTAATTTGGTGTTCATGTTTTTTTGGTTTATGTGGACTTGTGTTTGGAATCAATGAATACCATCAATCAAATACATATGTCGAACGTTATTGTCAGATTAAATCCAATGAAGTCGTAGGTCCTTTGAAAAAAAGTCGATGGAAACCAGCATGGAATATTACCATTTTAGATGAAGGAAATGATCGAATAGAATCGAGTTCTACATATTCTCTAAAATGGTGGGCTACAAGTATTGCACAAGCGAAAAAAGTAAGAATATTTTACATGTTTTAAGTTATTTTCATTCCTTTTTTTCGAATTAGTTAAATCAAATCTATCGATGTTATCGACATCATAATTATCCTTCCCCTGGAACATGGTCTTGGCAATGGAATAAACCTTCGAAATTAAAAGCATATAGTTTTCTTTTTGCTTTTTCTGTTTTTTTTATTGTGGGAAGTGTACTTTTTATACTTAGAAAATATTATCAACATCAAGAAAGACGAAGACAATAAAGATGAAATATTAATTTCCGATCGATTGATTAACAAGATTGCTTCTTAGATTGAAGTTTGGTGTGAAATTTTAGTAGAAAATGAAATCAATATATTTGATTACATAACCTGAGTATTACTTAATCATTTATTATAAAAAAAATCTTAATTATTCTGCGCTTTTAGAAAATTATAGTGACGTATTTATGCATATACAAAATTGTTGAATTTAAGAATGTGAATATTTGTGTTATCTAAAAATGATTCATTGTAAATGTTATTGAATAATTTGATATTAATGTAAAAGTATGGTTAATTTTTGTGAAGATTGATTGCCCTAGTCGAACATCTTGTAAGTAAGATCTGGAAATCTTGGAATTCGTAAGTAAGATCTTGCCAAGATCTTAAAAAGATAATTTCTTTTTTTTGAGAAAGCATATCTTGATCATATCTTACGTGTCTGTAGCACAGATCTTATTAAGATCTTTCTTCAAGATATCAAGTTTTTCAGAAGACATGAAGAAAAGTTAAATCGTAATTATCTTGTACCATAGATCTTATCAAGATCTTTACTCAAGATATCAAAACTGTCAGAAGACTGGAAAAAAGTTAAACTGTAATTATCTTGCACCAAGATCTTGAATAAACTAAAGCGACATCATTAATAGAAAAAAATAATTCAAATATTTGAATTATTTTATTAAAAATATTCATAAATCATAACAGAACAGAAAAAAAAATAAAAAAAGCTTTTTTTCAGTCTTCATAAGTATGAACCAATAAAAACAAAGAATGAACATAAAGATAACAAACGTTATAACGGTTAAGTCTTTATCTCATATAAGCATGAAAAAGCTTATTTAAATAATTATGTATCGATTAATGATGATATATTGGTTCTTCTTAGATATATTAATCATGATTTTTTCGACGAACAAAATATTTTGCAATTGTAAAAACGAAATTTTTTTATTACAACGATGAGAATCAAGAAAATTGAGTTAGAAGTTTTTATGAAATAATTTTTGAATAATTATATTTGTTTTTTAGAAATTTACTGAAGTTTACTTGCATCAATTTTACTACCAGGAGAAATGATCAGTTCGATTAACATGTAGATTATCAATCTATGCTAATATATCGAATTGATGAAATAAACTAAGCATTTTTAGACATGTATGTCATTTGTTTTAAAATACTTAGTTACTTTTATTTATTTGTTTTAGTTTGGTTTTGTTCCTACACATTATTAATTTCAGATATGAACAATAAATTTTGTTCGAAAAGTACGACTCAACGAACAAGAGAATGTATGCACCAATACCGGTTGGCACGCAAGAAAAGTGAAGTATTAAGGGTGCTTAGAAATAATGAACACAAAGACGAAGATGATGATTTCATGGACATCTCTAATTCAATGGATCCAGTAGCTGTCGATATTTCAGATAACGATGCCGTTGTTACTAATGATCCAGCCATTTCATCATCATCATCGTCTGATGCTGAATTATATGATGAAGCTGGTTCAAATTTATTTTTATTGTTTTTTATCTTGTATTTCGTGTACTTCTGAATGCTTTGTGTTCATACAGATGATTGTGAATTAAAAACAGTTGTTATGGTGTTTATATTTTATTATGTTTTTTTTTCTAAAGATTGTAATTGTATTTGATGTTCACGTGTGTTATTGTATGTTCATGTAGGTCTTAAATTTAAATATATTAGTACAAGACCTAAAGATCTTGCAGAGGCAAAACGAAAATACTATTCATTACAAGATCTTATGCTCAAGATTTCGAATATCTGTTACCAAGATCTTAACAAGCTATACATAAGATATTAACAACCTGTACATAAGATCTTAGCAATCTGTACCTAAGATCTAGTCACAGATCTTGTGTACAAGATAATCAAATTATCTGTACCTATTTTTTCAAGATCTGTTCACTTATCTGTTCCTAAGATCTTGGCCAAGATCTTGCTTACAAGATGTTCGACTAGGGTGGGTATCTTAATAAGAAGAAACGACAAAAATGAGTCATATCAATTTATGAGAAAATTTTTTTCTTGCTTGACTAAAAAACAATGAAATTACGTCTATGATTTAAATAAAATTCATGCATTGAGCGAAGAAAAGGGAAATATGTATACTGTTTGAAAATCAAATTATGTAACTGTTCGCTAAGCAAAGATTTGAAAAAAAATGTAAAAAGCATGGAGTGATTCTGATTAAAAATGCACTAGTAATGCTTTTAATTATACTATATTGTTCTGTACCAAGAACAATCAATAATATTCTCACGAAATGATTCTTACTTTGTAAATCGATATGTTGATGTTTTATGTGAAACGATACAATGCTAGTAAAAATGTTTTTCTTGTAAAATTTCATTGTACATGGTCAAACATGTTGATGATATTAATATCGAAAACAGGTCAAAACTCGAATGTTCTCAATGTGAACCATATTGAAATTTCAATTTTTTATATACAATCAATGTAATATGAAATACATGAATGGCATTGGCTCCCCAAAGATTTTTATTTTTTTCTCTCGTTGAATTAATATGTAAATGGAATTTTTTTAATAGAGTCGAATTCCACTCATTTGGTTGCTAACAAGAGAAAGTTTGCTAGGAACACTGTAATTGAATTTATTGGCCAAGTGATTTTAATAAACATGAGAATTAGAAATGAAATACATGAATGGCATTGGCTTCCCAAAGATTTTTATTTTTTTTTCTCTAGTCAAATAAATATGTAAGTAGAATTTTTTTTAATGTTGTGATTTCATTCATTTGTTCGTTGACAAGAGAAAAGTTCGTACCATTACTACAAGTGAATTTATTGGCCGAGTGATTTTAATGAACATGGGAGATAAAAATATGCAGTTCACACGCATCTCCGCGAATTCCCATCAACCTCGTGTTACCCGCGTACGTCCAAGCGACGTTCCATCAACTTATAGAAGCAGCAACAACAGTAATCCAGTTTTTGCATCGGTAAGTCTATTTATGTGTCCAAAGAAGATTACTTTATCTAAGTCTATATTTTATTCTCTAGTCAATGAGCACACAGATGAAACGTATGCAGAATAATAGATTTGGAGACATCGAAGATACATGGAGGAGAACTATGAGAAACTCAAATGTCAAAAAAAGATTCCAGATGTAAGTAGATCAACATATTGAATTATAGTCCTGAAAGACATATCACGGTAAAATAATTAACTTTATTATATTTAATTCCGTTTTTTTTCTGAATGTTCTTTATTCTGTAATATAATATTGAATATTTGTATGATCATACCGAGGGTAAGACCTGTTGAGAATAGAATTGAATATTTCGCTACGATTAAGAACACTTGCTCTGTTTTGATATACTTATGAGGGCGACAATCAGTCAGTTGAATGTGATCTTCTCAACTGAATATTTATATTTTATTCATTTTTATTATGATCTTTAATTGTAGGAAATGTTCTTACGGTCAACTTGCGTGCTGCTTTTGTTTGACCATCACTCTTGCTCTTTTAGTGAGCGCAGTCATTGGTACTGTACTTGCTATTGTCTTACGTAAGTATTCTGTCTCTTTTTATCATTTTTATTTATCTTTATACAATATGACCATTAGCACATACAACCACCCTATCAACAACAGTCACGACTGCTACAACGACAACAGCAACAAGTGAGTAAAATTATTATAATGATGAAATTTGTTTTTGCAAGGTAACTAGTATCGAATCAAACAATAGGATGACATACATATGCATATATTTCATCTAATAGAAACTTTTTTTGGTTTCGAATGTTGCTCAATTTTAATTACTCACACATAATAAATTAAAGAATCTAGTAGCCGATCAGATTTGATACTTTGTCTAACTGAAGTAAGCGCAGGTCTTCATTTTCAAGTTTATTATAGGCCCCGCCAGATACGCTAGTAATCGATCTAAGATTTATCTAATAGATGTGATTTTAATTAAAAAATATACATTTTGAACTTGAGCGCGCCACAACTAAATTGATCATTCGGCCAGGCTCAATAAAGTAAAAGCGAATTCTGCATTCTTTCATCCTGACGGATATTGATATGAGTTCATTCGATTATACTAAAATACCTTAAAAGTTACCTGAGTTCCGAAAAAAATCTTTTAAGTTTAATGAAATCCATTGTAATCTTTAAGATGTGTGTGGCGGGTGTGGCTGCAAGTCTGGATGTAGTTATAGAATACTGAAGAAATACCCACACCCACACCCACACCCTTTTTTGCAATTTAGTCTAAAAAAACTTTCAATTAAGAAGAATATTTTTAGAAATTAAATAATGTAGCTTATTGATATTTACTTTTTGACATGAAAATTTTCTTTTCTGTCATAAAATTTTGAAACAAACTTTATTGCTATATAGAAAGTTTCGAAAATGTTTTAAAGTATCATAATCTTCAAAACACATGTTATTAATATCACAGTATTAATATATATCGATACACTTTTTTGTTGTTTATATAATGACAGTTATATGAGCAAAAGTTCGCCTCGTATATATACAGGTTCTTGCACCAAAGGTTTAAAAAGACTTTAAAATCACTAATCAAAGTTTTTTGAAGCCCGCATAGATTTTTCAAAAAATTCGATTTATTTTTGTTATAAATGAAAAGAACACAATTAAAATAAAACTTTGTCTGTGGTTCATAAAGTTCTTCATAAGCCATTTTGTTTTCTCACTAAAACGTATTAATTGACGAGAATATGTAATGTGAAAAATGATTATTCATAGATGTGTGGAATAAAATATTAAAGATTTCTCTCATCTGATGTATATACAACAACAATAAAATGTACTTAGATAGTTTCAGAAATATTTGTACTTAAGTCAATTGTTAGACTATTGAATCGGAAGTATTTTTTCATATATAAATAAATATTTGAAATCCGAATATTGGACAGTGTTATTTCACTTCTAAATTATAATTTAAACAATTTTATTTGTTTTCATTGTGTTTCTTCTATTTACAGGACACCATTATTTTCTTCTTTGTTTATTATTCAAACAAACTTTTTTACAGTTCTCTTATCCTATTTTAAAATTATAAAGTAAATAAATTTTCTTTCTTACTTTTCTACTACTGTTGTATTATTCTTTTATGATTAATTTTCAAATTAGGTAGTTACTCAACAGAATAATATTTTAAAATCTATACGTAGGTTGATTCAAGTTTCTCTAGAACGTCGTTGTTACCATTCATTGCAATTTCACCCTAGTTCTCTCACACTTGAAATGATGAATGTGGATAAAATCTCTTTGTTAATTTATATTTTATTTACTTTTATATTAGAAAAAGAACAATAGTGATCGACATTACAATGACAAAAGTTTTTTTATTAATGATATATTTTGTAATTTATCCTTTGACATTTCAACAGAAATATGATTTATTTCAATCGTCGATTTATTTAACTCAATTCGGTACTCGTTTTCAACCACAAGATCTTATTGAACTGTTATATACTTCGTCAAGTGTTTCATCATTATTTCGATGTTCAATGTTATGTAATCAAAATCGCCAATGTCGTACATTTGATTATGATCAATCATCATTAGTATGTCGTTTATTCGAAAGTGAATATTCAACAGGAACAATTCTTACTAATTCAAGTTCATTGACATCAAGAATAGGTGTGATACTTTATAATACAACAGCTACTTCACAATTTTATTCAGTTTATAATCAAACATGTGATCAATGTAGTACTGGTAGTAATCGATATCTTCAATGTATAAATAATACATGTCAATGTCCATTATATACATACTGGAATGGTCAAAAGTGTTTAAATCAAGTGTACGACGGATCGAATTGTTCTTCGACGTTATCTTGTCGACAAGATTTGAATCTTACTTGTTATACTCAAACAAATACATGTACTACAGGTAATATTCGTCAATTTCATTTCTTTATACTCTTGATCTAAATCACAGACGTTAACCATATGGTAATTTGAGTAGAGATGTAGCAGTCTGGCACTTAATATTAAGGTTTATCTTATGACTTTTGTATTCTGTAAGTAATAGTCTAGAGAAGTTGGCTTTTTCGAGAAATTAAATGTACAGTAAATACTTTTTATCTTCAATCGAAATGTTATTGTTTATTTTACTTTGTAAATATAGTCTGTAACACATTTGGATTTCAACAACCACCTGTTCTTTATATAAATGCGGGAGGTCCACAATCAGTCATTTCTGCTGATTTCAATAAAGATGGACATTGGGATTTAGCAATCACTAATTATGATGGAAGTTCTATCTCAATACTCTTGGGTATTGGTAATGGATCGTTTCAACAGCCTGCAGCGGTTTATGGACCTGGTGGCGTTAATCCCTTTTGGCTTGTTTCTGAAGACTTTAATAAAGATGGAAATCTCGATTTGGCTATATGTAACGAAGGATCCAATAATATCGCTATTTTTTTGGGTTATGGCAACGGATCTTTTCAAATGACTGCAACTCTTGGCAGCGGAGGAACACTTCCATCGTCGATTGTTGCTGCTGATTTTAATAATGATAACAAAACTGATCTAGCTGTGACAAATACAGGTTCGGATTACATCACCATTTTTCTCGGTTATGGTACTGGTGGATTCCAAACACCCGGAACATCTTATGCAGCTTCTTCACATCCTTCACTTCTGATTAGTGGAGATTTCAATTCTGATGGTAGGATTGATCTTGCTGTGGTATGTCGAAATAGCAATCAACTACTCATTTTTCTTGGCTTCGGTAATGGATCTTTCCAAAACAACGCAACGTACACGACAGGAAGTACTCCCTATTCAGTTAGAGCGTCTGATTTCACTGGCGACTCAAAACTTGATCTAGCTGTTGCCAATTTTGGTTCCAACTCGATTAGTATTTTTATTGGCACTGGTACAGGTGAATTTATTGCGGCTAGTCCTGCAACATATGCTACAACTAGTTCTAGCCCTATTGATATTGCTATACAAGATCTAAACGGAGATTCAAAGATGGATCTAGCAGTATGCAATCAAGTGGGAAATACGATTACTGTTTTTTTAGGAAATGGAAATGGTACTTTTGGACAAGGGCAAGATTATTCATCGTCGGGACAAAAACTTCAATCAATTATTGCTCAAGATTTTAACAAGGATGGAAAATACGATTTGGCTGTGACCAATCAGAATAGTAACTCATTAGCCATTTTACTAACACAATGTGTTTAATACTACTTATGTTTTCGAACTGATATAAACTGATTCAAATGAACATTTTTCTTTTATAAACTCTCTTACAACGCTTTTAATGTTCTAAATTAATTTTTATTCACTGACTTTGGTTTTCTCGTAAGAATGTAACTTCATGTATATTACAATAAAATCAAATAAATTCAATTGCCTATTCTGACGTTTACAGGTAGTCCAGTTCGATATTATCGCCAACATGAAGCTGTACGATTTTTTATAATCGTTTCCCATTTGTTTCTGTTATTCGATGTCGTTCATAAGGCAATTCAGAAAAACGAATCATATAACTCCCTCAAGAATTCTTAAACACCTCAGTTTTATTTCATTTTGTATTGTTATACAAATTTATTAGAGATAAAAATAGTTACCATTGAATGTGAGTAAACGTCAAACAGAGAAAGGACATCTATTCATTGCCTTTTAAAGTCATCATAATTCATCAGATATAACGATAAGATTTAGGCATAGATTATTTTTCAATAACCGCGAAATATCATATATTAAAGTGAATAGCCATCATATAAATAAGATATGTAAAGGAAAGCGTATTTTGTAATAATTAACTCAAAATATCCAACGATTCCTTGTAATAGAATACTGTAGGTATATATTTCAAAGTAACAAATTAGGATAGATCATAATATGATAGATCGATTGAAGAAAATACCCACAATCTCACCTCTTTTGCTTTATTTATTTATTTATTTATATATTCGTTACTTTTTGATTCAACTCTTCGTTTATTTACTCATTTATTATTATCTTTTTCATACATTCAATCGCTTCATATATTTATTTATTTACAAAACATTTAAAAAAATTAAACAATATTTATTTATGACTACATATTTTCTTTACAATGTTCATCATGATAATTCTGTATAGACTCATTCTATTAAAATATTTTCAATTTCCCCCTCAGACCCTTATCCTCATCATTTTAAATTCATTACATGATCGCCGAGCACACAAGATATCAATAATTGATAACATGATATAACCTCTATGTTGTAGGGTTCCGTTCGAGTGCTACGATCTTGTTTCGGTGTTGTGTTAAACGATAAAATCTCGTTGAAAATGGAGAAACCGTAGTTTTTTTTGATTAAATGAGCCACCCTGTAGCATATATAATATAGTGAATAAAAAATGATGAAAATGCATTTAGATTGTATTTTCTGCTTCGGCGTAATATATACGTTGGTGGCTAAGTAAGAATCATCGATCGTGGAAGTGAAATCGTTGATGTATGAGTAAGTATGTAAATGGCAGGATCTTGCCTCGACTTTATATATACGTCGACCGTTGACGAAGAAGAAATCTACAAAAAAAAATGACTTTCGTGGTTGAAGATAGACAGACATTGTTTTATTGCTCATAGACAAGGACAGAGAGAAACTGTTTTATTGCTCGTAGATAAGGATAGAGAAATTGATTTTGTTCGTGTATAAGAACAGAAAAAAAGATTTTTTTTGCTCGTAGAGGACAACACAGAGAGAGATTTAAAGTATGAGTTTTTATAGGGAATTATATTAGAAGCATCGTACGATGAAATTATCAAATCATGATGACGTTCAAAATTCTTAGAAATTGATATATATAAAGAATATGAATGAGCACAAGTATAAATAAGAGATATTTCAATTAATCAGAAATTAGAAATCTACTGTCATTTTTTAATATCTTTACGAGAACTTAACGAAACCAAGAAAATTATTATTCATCCTTTTCTTATAATCATTTATATAGCATGTTAATAAAAAAAACCCATGAGCTTTGAAAATCAATTGACATAGAAAAAAATTAGATTATAAAATAGTAAAACTGAGTGAATTGAGATGATATATGATACTTGTATCATTTAAATGACTTTTTAAATTTCGATAAATAAGCGAAACATTCTTCTGATATTTATAAATTGAGAAGATCAGTGTTACAGCCAAATATTTAAGGAACAGAAAAACGCACTATGACGACCGATAGTATAATAAAACGACACATCTGCGTACATTGTTTCGCCCAACTGTTCTTTGTAACTTTTGAACAATTCTTGATCTTTCGTTTTTCTTTTATAGTTTTTATTGTTTGATAATTGTATCGCCATTTTGAAACGTGATAGATCCAGAAAAGAATTTCGAAGAAGTTGTATAGACTCATTGAATGACATAAAATAATCACCAAATACTCGGTGATTACCTTCGATTTCCAGTGCCTTCAAACTTGGAAATATTTTTGATAATTCAAATAGAAATATTGAATTGTAACAACTGTCGTTGCGCTGTGTATCTATTTTTAAATGTAAAAAATGTATTCGTTTTTTCACTGGTATCGTAATCATTTTATTCAATTGTTCTATCAAATTCTCTGCATTTGTTTCCGTGGTGAAACTGAACGAATTTAAATTTGGTGATTGAGCTATAATTTTCGGTACGAATTGATATATGTCATCATGCTCTATATCTTCCATTGGTTGTTCAAAATATATCTTTCGTAGATTTTTAAGTTTTAGATCCGAAGGTAATTCGAACCTAGTCGATAGCTCTTTACTACCAATGCGAACTGTGTGATATTTATACAAGCTTCGGAAACTGAGACGTGAATCGAGGTTGAAGCGCTCAGATATAGTGTCAAATTGTTGAGGTTTTGGAAGTGTAAATAAAGAGTAGCTGGAATCTGACAGCAGTTTGACGTTAGGGAAAGGAGATTGTGAATTAGGTTGATGAATCGTATTAATAAGATACTGAAAACTTTCGAGGCGAGTAAAGTCAGACACGAGACTTTGAACTTTGTCAAAGTTAGAAAAGTCTTCAACAGGATTGATCATAATCAAAGTAAAAGATAGAAGTTGACTGTTGAATGCTTTTAATAATGTTTGCATTGTTTCGAAAGTTAGTTCAGTGCTGGTACCACCACATTGTATTGTCCCACATTCGATATGTAACTTATCTAACGTTTTTGGAGCTTTTAAGATATTTAAAGTTTTTAAACTGTAATATTCTACTATTGATAAATTCAATTCTTCAATATTAGGCATTACTTCGAACAGTTCTACAAGTGCTTGAAAATTCATGCAGGTAACGGAGAGACGTCTGATATGAGGCATGCGATTACCATACGACAGAGACCATAAGCCACTACGGTAAATTAGAGTAAGATCTTTTAGGTTAGATGATGTAGAATTGAAAGAAATTTTATAAAATGTGTCACGTTCTGTGCTAGAAATTGAAAGTTCAGTTAAAGTTTGTATTGATAAAGCTTTGACGACAAACTCATTCAGCCCATTGAAGAAATACTCCCCATTATTTTCGAGTAACAATGATTTCAAGTTAACCAGTTGATCAATATATGGTTGAAGTATTTGGAGTTGTTGAGGCCCAGTGAGTTTAAGTGATCGAATAGAATGTGCATGTAACGGAAGTATATTTTGACAAAACAGTTGAAACTGACGATAGATGGGTCTATTATTTCCTATTAGGTCGATGTCATATAAATATGGCTCTATAATTCGTTGAAATCGTCGATTTAAGTTTAAAAATCCATAGATTAAGTCAACTGGATGAAGGTAAGAGAATATGGATAGTAGTAGTTCATCTGGCAGTACTTCAAACATAGTCATGATGGAAAATAGAACCAGTGATAATATCGTGAGTTAAACAATAAATATTTTGTTTTGTCGTCACAGTCAGAGATAGAAACGGAAAAAAGAAATATTGTGCAATAAAAATAAAATACGACGAAAGAATGAGTAATTTTATAAAATGAAATATATCTCTTAATATTCATATCTCATTGAAACGAAGATTGGATAGACTAGAAACGAATGAAATCATTTAATATGCATGTGTTAACCTTTGTAAATTATTATTTAAAAAGATGTCGTTAGGGTGTGGGTGCGAATGAGTATGAGCAAGTGAATTTTATTCTGTCAACTACACACCCACCCGCCCAAGATTAAAATCTAGTATTGAAGCATGAGAAGAGTTTGCTAGAAGTACAAAATTTCACTTGTTTTTTCTCCTCACTTATAATATGATTTTTGACCGAACATTGAAAATTATCGTATAACATGAATTTTTGCATCTGAATATTAAAATTTAAATGAACCATCGAGCTTCTTCTTCGTATTCTGTTTATCATACTTTTTCAATAGAAAATATCAGTAGATCAATAAATATTTAACTCGTAAAAACATCATTTGATCGAGAAAACAGATAAATTAGAGAATTTTATATAATAAGAAACTTATTCAAGCAGAGTGACTTTCTTGTTTAAAAATATATTAGTAAAAGCTTTTTTTCCAATGTACATAAACTAGTTAATACATTTATTTGTGAATCATAAATAATCTCAATGGGTAGTTTTTTAAAATACATATAGTTAAAATGTATTGTTATAATTAAATTAATAATTATGAACATGAAATTTTGACCACTGAAAAAATGAGTATAATCATGCAACTAACAATGTATCATATAAACGATGGATGTGAGGGTGTCGATGTGGGTGTGGGTGACGGGGATGAAGGGGAAGACACCCACACCCTCAAGACGCCATTTTTTTCTTTTTGTGATGCAATAAATTACAGTCTCTACTATGTAACATTAAATGCAAAATGGACGCGTGTATCTGTATTATTATTTCAAACCGTGGATGAATAAAAAAAATTCCATCAAAAGACATGACTTTCGATAAAACTTGTTAAATGGTATTTTGTTTATCAATGAACGAGGGAAACTTATAAGATTTCACGTATTGCGGGTGAGTTCTAGAATTTCAAGATTCAGATTTCATATCCCCGAAAAGATTACTCGTGAGTTGGCTTTAACTCTATTGTATTTATGAGGAAGAGAATGTATGAAAAGCCACCATGACGTGTTGTCTTCAGATTGAAGGACTTTTCAAATGGTTTAAATATTCTTTATGATATAAAATCACAAGAATTATCTTGAGAAGAGTTAGAATAAAAGGTGTCGACGAGTGAATGGGCAGTTCTTCTCTTAATTGACGTATCCATTCAAACACGCCCACGCTTCCACCAACACCCTCACCCTCAAGATTTTCTTCGAATACTGAAGAACAAGATCAAATTGATTCCGTCTTTATTATACTTATATTTTTGAAGTGTGTTGATGTAATGAAAAAGAAAAAGAAAAGTTCAAAATAGTGTTGTTCGAAATAAATTAGAGATTGGAATGCGTTTATCAATGAATAATTTTCGATTCACATGATTGCTGTTGATTATTGGTATTGTCTGATGACTTCTCGAACTTGCATCAGGGTAATTCCCAATCGATTTTTACCTGTTCCGTCTCCACCATCACCCCAATAAGAATCATTCTTAGTATGTTCAACTAGAGTACGGTGTCCAGTTAATAATAACTTGTATTTAAGATGTGGATGCTGCGTAAATTTAGCCATACATGCTCTAAACATTACCTTATCTTTAACATTCTTCCAATCTGGTCGGACTGCAGAATTATGATATTGAGCATAGTCGAAGGCATCTCGCGGCGTGGGCAATTGTGAAATATATCTAACACGATTTATATCATACGCGAACTTTTGTGCTTGAAAATAATGTTCGGTAGTAGGCCAGATAAATCCATCAAGGTGAATAGGCGCAGAATAAAAGTTGCCAAACTCACCAAATGGTTTATCAAGATCATAAAAGTGAATAGCTGATGAATTATGATTATGATGCATGTTGATCACTCTTGTACAACAACAAGCGTTTTCAAATTTGTTATTTGTATCTGGAATTCATTTGAATATTAGATGAATGTTATAATGCTAAGCCTTTTTATATATTATTTATTGAGAAGGTATTTTTTTCTTTCTATGATGAAGCAGCATTATAACAAAATTATAGCAGTAGGGAAAGAAGAAGTCAGATTCAAGAATAATATTTGTTTTAGAAAGGTTGTTTTTGTTTTCGAAATATCAAATTTAAGTGACAACAGAAGAAAACAACAGAACTATGTGAACAACGTTATTGTAATTCATTGATAAAAAAATCCATAAACTAGGACACTTTCTTTCATTTCCAGCAACCTCAAATGAAAACCTCTTCACATTCGACGAATATAAAAACAAAAAAAACATAAAAAAGACTAGAGTGCTGTCCAGAGCTAGGCGACTTGATGAAAAGTAGGTCAATTGCAAACGTTAAATCACCTTATAATAAAGCAAACGTAATGAAATTAATAATGTAGAAGCTCACGGTGTATCTCACATCTTGCATTACTCTTATATTCCAAATCCAATTATTCATAGCTGACTATTTGTGCTCAAACCATTGCTTGCGTTGTGTGAGAAAAAGAGATGCGACCTACTTACGTGTTTCAACGAGAAGAAATGATTTGTAAACGGTATGCAGTTTGTTACTGAAGCATTTATTTTTATAGCTTCGTCTCTCACTTTTTTTCTCTTATAACGCATGAATAATTTTCTGTTTTGGCCTACTAATGCGATTTTTCTTATTCATTCAACTATGTTTATGCACAGATAGTCACATGTGACACGTTGTGAGTAATTATTACTTGTTTATACACCACAACCACGCAGAAAATCAAAAAACAATTACGTAGGCTGTATTCTCTTGCTAAAAAAACAAGCTATGCTGTTTATCTTGAGGGTGAGGGCTAAGTAAAAGAAAATCAATAAAAAACTAATGAATTTTTTTGTAATTTTTAATGTTTTTTTCAATATTTAAGTAAAAAAAATGAGCGAATAAATCGACTGAAATAAATGAACACACAAATGAATGAGTTGAACTGAAATAGAGAACAAGCAAGTTAATAAGAAAATGAAAACGAATCTTTGGATTGAAATGAATAAAAATAATGAATAGAATAAATAAAGATTTTTTTGAATTTATTTATTTTAATTTAATTTTAAATATAATAAATGATGAACTTAACAATAAATTGGAAGCGATGCGTTTCGAATTTTTCTTCAGACTATATAAGTATCTACTTTCAATTCTACCTCTGTTCTCTACTCTCATCTAGTAGGATAGGGTGTGGGTGTGGGTGTGGGTGTATCATTCCTAACCTACCCACACCTACATTCTTACTATTCTAATTGCAAATAAATTATTTCATATTTAATAGTAAATTTTAAAAGCAAAAGAAAAGTCGTCGTATGGGAAGTACTATATTGCTGTTCGTTATTAACTGATTTATATATGGATAAATATAGTTAACAGTTTTCGTTCATGACTGTGAGTTTGTAATGATTTGAAGGTTAATATTTCTTTTTAAATTAAATGTAATAAATAATTTTTGTTAGAATGATCAAATACTAGCAATATGAAGTATCCGTATTAATCAATGAAACATTCTTAGTTACCGATGGAATCGGTAGTATTAGTTATTTAAATAGCGTAAAGCTATGCCAATCATAAAAAATAAATAAACAATAAACATTTTTTTTTGCCTTTTCCATATGACAATTAAATTTTTCTTTTTCATTTCTGTACATATTGGTTGCACCTTTAATAAATTCAAGATATGACATTAAAAAATACATTGTTTCCTATATTCCTCTGGGATGATTTATTATCATTAAATAATATTTTATTCACATTCACATTCACTCTCTATCCCAATGCAAAAGTAGCTGCTATGTCACTAGCAGTACGAGCAAAAGGATAAAAAAATATGTCATCAATACATCCATCGTAGTATAGACCACCAATGGAATCAATATTTCCAATTTGGAAAAAAGTGGGTGGCCCTGTATAGGGTCCATGGCCAGTACCTGACTTATCAAGAGTTCCGTTCAAGTAGAGTGCCATCGTTCCTGCTGTCTTATTGTAAACGTAAGCTAAATGTGACCAAACATTGATCGATACATTTTGTAAACCTGTCTGCGTATCACTACGAAATCGAAAAGTCATGGGACCTGGACTACCGATCGAGACACGCATACATTGATATGAGCCTAGTGATCCACATTGAGCAAGAATGACATGTTCCATACCATCGGTAACAATCGTTGGTTTAATCCAAGTTTCTACTGAGAAGGAAATATTACGTAAATCGATATACGGTGTACCATAAATGTAAACCGATTGATTCAGCGAACTTGATAGATTTAAACACTTCCTACAACTATATCTCCCTAATGTATATATTGATTTATTTCCGTTTGTACCGTTATAAATGAGAAAACGATCATTTAAATTTCCTTCAAAATCCCATCCCATGCTTGGAGCTAAGATAAAAAACAGTAAAATTTGTAAGTGAATAGATACTCTTTATACCTTGTCCTACTGGTATTGTCATGTTAATACAAGCACTGATAGTCGACATTGCTGCAGTACTTGGCTGTATTGTTGTTGTTCCAGGTTCAGAAACTAAAATGTAATAATGAAATGAAGAAAATTCTATTTTAGATCTTGGTCAATTTGTGTTTCTTCTGAATATCTTTATCGGTAAAAGTATTTGCTGCTCTCATGGATGAGTGGTAAATATAATATTACATAAATTTGTTTTTTCTAAGAAACAGTAAAAATACTTATATCGAAGATCTATTTATACCCTATTCTGAAATAAAATTCATGAATGAATCCTAAATGATAATGTATAGTTTATTGCACAAAAAAATATATTTAGAAGGCGTATTGTTTGGTTTAGGTTTTTATTTTCTTACATAGATGCATTCTACTCTATACTATACTTCAGATAATCTTTTGCTTGAATAGGTTTATTCTATATGAACTGACCTTGCGGTATTCGTGTGTTACTTTCGACAATCATAGTAATAATATCCACATTAGGCAGCATGTTCTCGGTTTGATTCGATACGTCTGCAAACAATTCACACATCGATGCGGATTGATGAAAACTGGCCGCATCACATTGAGTTTGAGCTAAACAAGCTATTTGACAATTGCGAATATTTAATACAATACTGGTAATGAATGGTAAACATGTTGTAGCAGTGCAATTAAATTTACTGCCAGTAATCTTTAACATTATAAATGAGCGTATATCTTCTGTGCTTGATTGGATAATAATAAGTAACATAAGTATTTGACAAAGTCTTATATAACCCATTATGAATAGAAATTCAGATTAATAAAATGAAATACAACTAAAATTGAAGCAGAATATTTCTTTTTTTTCACACTCTAATGTGACACTCGAGTGTTTGCACGGTATTTAAATATTAATCAACAATTTGAATGGAAACAAAAAAAAAATTTTATCACTTCTATTACCGTGGTTGTATTGAGTGCTAACTTGACTTTTATAGATATAATTAAAGTCGATAAAAAAAAGAAAAAGACAAGCATGGAGAAAATATGTAGGTGTTATTTGCTCTTTTCTTTTAACACATTATATAAATATATTTTACATAAGGGTCTAGTATATGTTCATTAATTATAATGTAGAAATTATGTGCTAAAATGTTTGATAATAATCGAAAGAACGAAAATGTGTACGTGAAAAAACATTGTCTGATTGTGTTTGCAGACAACGATTGTCTCGCCTTTACTCATCTGAGATTTTTCTAAGAGATTTCTTCAACTTATATCAACTGTTCGTTTCACTTCTTCACTAACATTAGTTTTTGACTATTCATTTCTAATTTTATTCTAAATTTGATACATTTATGGATTATTTTCATTATTTTGAGACAATCTAATATTCATATGAAAGATTTCTGACAATTTCTCTTCAAGTGCTAAGTGCGTTTTCCTATCATAAAGTTAGGTTGCTATCATTTCCAATAGAAATATGATTGTGCCACTAATACTAAATGGTCCTTCTCTACTCATTGTTTAATTCAATTTAGTATTCATTTATCCAAAAGGTCCCTTCGTACTTCAATATACTAGATTTTAATTTGTTTACATTCTCATAGTTTTTTATCAAATAATTTATAGTTTCTCTTTGTTGAAGGTGTTAATTAAAATTTTGTGTTAAAATAAATTTACACCTTATTTTCACTTATTTCAAATAAAATCTAAGATGTGTAAATTAAATTTTGTTACCAATATGCCTTTGTAGAACTAGAGTCATTATCGACATACGTCAATTGATGAAAATGAATTCAATAGATATCGTTAAATTTTGTAGAAGATGAAAAGAAAAAGTTTATTATTAATTATTTTTACAAATTAAAAACATCTATTATATCAGAAAGCAATGAAATATTTCATATGGATGAAACGCGTATCAAAATAAACATAGCGATATAATGCTAGCTAATATATTTTGTCACGAAGACCTTTACAATTTCTTTTATTATATCGAACGCATAGAATGATTGTATTCATATATATATATGTTTAGTTCAGTTTCAAAATATCACTTCCTTATTGATAAAGTTGTGATGTGTAGTGGCGCAACAATATGACGTGCTAGTTGTTGTTTTCTGAATAATTTCCATATCCATTTTTTAAATTCAGGAAGCATTTTGATACATACCCATGGCATCAAGAGACAAACAAGATAGAGAAGATCGAAAATATAGTTTGATTGAATATCAGCGAGGAAATTCGAACTCTTGATTTCTTGAATGACAGCAATGATCGTATTTGGAAGCCATGCAATGATATATAAGCAAGAGATCATTAGTAATTGAATTGTCATACGCCTCTGTTTGCGCCATAGAACAGGTTGCTGTAGACGACGCTTTTGACAGACGACTCGCGTTACGAGTGTTACATTAGCGACGATAATTATTATTATCGGCATACCATTGTCTATTGCCCAATCGAACGCTGCCAACAAACTGCTATTTTCTAGATAACAATTTTTTAAACCGCATAAAACTGATTTAAAATCCCATTGAGTTCCATTACATGGATAGATAACAACAAGACTCAAGTAGAGAAGACTTGGATAAATAACGCAAAGTAGTAGCGGCAAGTCATGTAATAGAAAACGTTTTATTCGAATACGTAGTATATTCTTATTGAATACGAATAGATGACGTTGAATGGAAATAGTAGCCATTAAGAACTCACTTGAAACACTGAGAGTATACTCGAAGAATGTCCACCATGTGCAATAGGCTGCTGTTACTGGATTAACACGACCAAGTTGATAGAAATTGATAGTCATTGGTAAGTCGCATGATGCTTCCAAGAAGTTGACTATAAGCAACAGTAACAGAGCTTTATTTCTCGGATTTTTCAGAAGAGAACGATGTACAACAAAAAATGTAAAAATAAGAAGATAGATCATCAGCGATGGAATTTGTAGGAGAAGTAATATTAAAAATTTGGCGCGATAAAGAATGACCTTACTATCGTTTATTGGTTCCATACTACTAGAATTCATTTGTATAAGAATATATGAAATGAAAATTTTTAATTGTTAACTGTTGTCTTCAATAAAAAGATAATACTAAACTCTATAATTATTTTCTTTTTTCTCAATTAAAAAAACTACTCTCATCATTACTTCAATTAAGAAATAGTTAAATGATGAACAAGCGACCTGCATAAGATATGAACATGCCTGTTGTAGCTTGTCGAAAATGTTAAAAATACTTATCTTGAGTTTTTTCTTTTGTCATTAAATTTATATCTACATGTTAGGTCGAGCAAAAGAACAACTACTTGTGTCAGGAAACAAACAAACATTAAAGTCAGTTTTTATTATCTTTTACTGATGTTTTTAATATTGAAAAAATACTTCGGAGGATGTCAAGTGACAGCTAGAACTTGCTATTTTCACTTAAAATTTTTTCCAATGATTGTCTAATAGAACTCTTTAGCGTAGGTAGCTGATGTCAATACATAAAGAATGAAACATAATATATGAGGGTGTGGATATGGATTAGAATATATGAAATTACTTAATTGATCTAACAGATACACCTACATCTAACGTGGTTTTCAACGGTTTGATTAAAAAAACCTTTTCTGTGGCTGGACAATTGCCAAACATAAGGAATAATAAGTGTCTGAAAACTATTTTTTCTATCTTGCTAAAGAAACGAAACTTCAAATATATCAGAGAGTTTAATTTTTTTTTCATAGTTTATCAATGTCTCAAAATGCCTGTACTGCTCGAATCACATGTCGGAAAAAAGATCGTAGGGAAGAAGAAAAAAAGAGAAGCAAACCGTTTTGCTTCATTTTATAATGACAGTGGTGGGATTCGAACCCACGCCAGTTACGACTGGTGCCTAAAACCAGCGCCTTAGACCACTCGGCCACACTGCCTATTTTATTATACAAATTATGTTCAGTTCACAAAGGAATTTCGAATACGTGCTAAAATTGCTAAAGAAGAACGTATTGAAAATGAAAAACGTCTTGCTGAAGAAATATTTAATTAATATTTTTCCAAGGCAAGATAAAAGAAGTGAATTACTAATATATTGAATTTCTATTTTTTAATTTTCTTAAAAAGTAGAAACATGTTATTTAATATGATAGTACATCAGATCCAACAATTTTATTTGAAATCAATATATTTATATCTTTATGGTGTGATGAGCAACAAAGATTTTATCAAAAAATTGAAGTATTGCAATTTATAAAAACGTTTAAATGATATTAAAAGAGAAAGAAAGTGAAGTCATTCATATAAGCTCTTTCTATTTTGTAGACGATTCAAAAACTTGAAGATACATCACATTTCAAATGACATCAAACAGCTCATTATGCAATGTTTAAAGCAACAGATTTGCATGATTTTGAAACAAATAATTTTCAATATATAAACGAAAATGAGAATGTTGCTATTTGTATCTGAGCTAATCTTAGTCATAATCTAAGGTTATATTGAAATAAGTTGTTAATGAAAATTTTCTAATTTCTTCATTGTATATATATATAAAATAAAAGGTTCTCTTTTCAATTAATATGGTTTTGACTTTGATTTATCTAAACAATTATCATTAATTATTTAATATAACTATAATTAGATCTTTCTTAAATACGATTATTTTTGTAAACGTTCACTTCTTGCAAAATGGATATGAATGCGGGTGTAGTTAATCAAAGAATAAATACATCTCCACTCACGATTAATACCTAATACACTAATCAAAATTTTTGATCTGTTGAAAAATCCTTTATTATTCTCGTACCGTCGTACGTACTTTGTACTCTGAGCTGTTAGCAATAGTTTTCAATCTCTTTTTATACAGCACTTTAAATAGAAAGAAAAATACACAGGTAGCGATTGAATGCAAACAAGAAGGAGCGAGGAAGAAAAGAAAGAAACGAATAAATTCTTTCTTTTCTATTCATTTCTTTCTTCGCGATATTCATGCATACGAAAAAAAACTTCATCTGAAATAAAAATCGTACCGGCTCTCTTCTTATTTCATACCAAACACTATAGAATATATTATTTTATTCTTGCTCGTTATTATTCGTAGCATTAAAAATATTTTATTGACTTCTTGAGTAGGAAGCCAAGACGTACCATAGAATTTTTTTCATTACTATTGCACTGTACATCACACAGTTACAAATTAAAGACAAGAAATAAACAGTATCATCATATATCTTCTATACTAAGCTACATTATCAAATAATGTCAAGTGAAGAAATCTGTATCGTTATTATACCAAACGATTTCCCAAACAACAGCGACAACAACCAAAACATAAATGGTCACAATAAACATATGCCATCACAGGTAGAGTTTAATGCATAATCTTTTTTTTTACAAGAACTATTTGATGATTTGAAAAGATTTCAGTATTCTATTAAATTCTCTCCAAATCGAGTGTCCTTTTCTTCTCAAATAGAACGAAACAAAGTTTTGTCTCATGTCAGAAAAGCAAGGAGAAACAAGTATCATTGTACTATTTCGAAATATGAATGAAGCACTGAAGACTAATACTGGAATATTTGATTTTTTTTACTTGAATTAGAATATAACAAACGGAAGTGCAAGGAAAAGACCGTTAGATAGCGAAGAAACACAAAACCATACATTGTCTTTTCTGGTTGAAGCATTAAGTGGTGAAACTCATCCGACCAACTATGATATCAACCGGCGAATATCCAATGCATCGTCTATATCGACAGAAAAACATAGCAAAGAATATCCATGTTCAGAATGTGATCAGTCTTTGGCGAGTCGTTTTCGTTATCATACTATGCCAAAGCTGAAACTTCGAGACACCATCTGGATTCCTACTAACAATAACAAGAACTTTTTTATTGTTTGTTATACAGATATAGGCCCTCAGTCCGATGGTATTTTGGATGAATTACGCCGAGCTGAAATCGGTATTCGAGCCGGATCAAAAGTATTTATTATTCCTCTCACTTGTGCGCTTGGAATACGAAAAGTTGTGGATAAACAGAAAACATTGCCCAGTGTATCCATGGGTATTACTGGTGCGGATAGGGTAACAAATGCCGTCGAAGATAATTTACCGGTAGCTACACCATTGTCAAGAATCAATAGGTCATGGTATCAATTCTTTAAAACTATCCGAGCACGTATGAATGTACATAAGATCATTGGATTGATTCAATATCAATCGTCACTGACATTTGATTATCTATTCTTTTGTGTGTTGGCATCATTGATTGCTGGTCTGGGACTATTAGAAAATAATACTGTGTAAGTGGAAATCTTTGTGAGTTTTAAATGTAAAAATGGCATATTTCTGTTTCTAGGATTCTAGTAGCAAGTATGCTCGTATCGCCACTGATGGTATTGTATCAATATAAATTGTTTTTTCTTAGAAATAAAAACATTGCAATTCTTTCCGCTTATACTAGGGTCCAATCATGGGTTTCGTTATTGGTATACGCGTCCTTGATAAGAAGTTATGGCTATCTGGAATCAAATCAGAGTGTACTGGTATTTTAGTTGCTGTGCTAACTGGATTTCTTTTTGGATTGTGCACGACATGGTCCGAAACAAAGTGGGGCTCGAGTGCATCATTTCCGACCGACGAAATGCGCAGCAGGTAGGGTCTCTGCATTTCGAAATAGAAATAAAACAACAAATTACTTTTTATTTCAGGGGTGATTATCGACGTCTGTGGTTTGGTGCATTAGTTGCACTACCAAGCGTAAGTATCGTAGGAGTTTTCGTGATATAGCCTCCTTAAAATTTCTAGTTACATCGTACGATTCTGAAATATAAAACACTTTATAGACTTGAAACATGCTTGTCTTGAACAATACTGCATTTGTTCTTAAAATAAAACTTATGTTACTCTATTTTGGAAAACTTCCCTTTTTAGTTTATTCAATCGTTTAAAACAGTTAATTTAACGTGCAAATAAGTGGTGATTTAAGTGATCATTTTTAAAATAGATAAAATCTTTCTATATCGAATAAAGTTGTATATCATCGAAAGCTGTATAACCACTTACAACTTAATATTCGGTGTTAGAAACAGTTACAAAGACTTTTTGTTTATACTCTTTCTAGGGTGCTGCAGCTGCTCTGTCTATTCTTGGTGGTAACTTTGGTTCACTGGTTGGCGTCGCTATCAGTGCTTCTCTCCTCCCGCCGGCCGTCAATACAGGCCTATTATTTAGCTATAGTCTCCTATCTGTCGCACAACCAGATATTGGTCGTCATTCCCTTGAAAAAATTAATCGAACAGTAACTAATATTTTTCCATCAACGTTTGTCAACTGCACTGCATTTGTGAACAACGATTATTTACCTCTTTATTCATGCGATATGCCGAAAGAAGCGGCTCAATTAGGAATTTTTTCGTTTATCATTACATTTATCAATATCATGTGTATTTGTATAATGGCATTAATTGTATTACTTATTAAAAGAGTAGTACCAATTATTCCAGATAACGAAATTAGTGAGTGTACATCTCATTTTCGAGATGACTGACATAAATCTAGGAATATATTATGTTTTCTAGCTCAACTCTGGCGTTTAGAAAAGAAGAGCGCAGGTGCCGCATTTAATAATAAAATTTATGTCGAACTAGATAATGAAAATGCACAAGAATTAGAGCAGATTTCAAACGAATTTGGCCATGTTAATGGAATTTTACAGCAGCACAAAGAACATATTGTTTAGACAATTCATTTGTTCTGACATATATCTATTTATTCTCGCATATCTTTTTTAAACAAATCTTAAGAGTGTAAGTAGATGGGGATAATATCATAGATGTAATTACTATGTCTATCTGGTATCAACACCCGCATTCATAACCTCTAGTGGTAGCTGTAATATGAAGACACAATTTATTCTCTGCTGTGTTGTATTTCTATTAATTAATTATATATCAAAATCTTGAAATGATATATTTGTTGAATTTCATAAGAGATATTGATTATTTTAAAAATTTAAACATGTATTAGTGTACTCTACTGTTAAGTTATTTTTGTAAAAGATAAATACACTTTCAGACGTTCATGTTCACATTGAATTCAAATTCGAATGTGTGTCACATTTCAGAAATAGACAAAGAATATTCTCGTAATGATGTTTTTAATTTATGCACCAAGAAATATTATTTTTAAGACGTGTTGCTTTTATATATTTCTTTCTAATAATAATTCAGAATTATTTTATATAGTTTCATGAAGAGAAGATTATCCTATTTAAATTATGTATGACTTGTATTGTATGAAGTATAGTGATTACTGATTATTTAAAAACTGTTAGCACTCTCTTTAAGAATAAAATGTAAAACATGCTTTACTTGTTGAAATAATGAAACTAATGATTAATCAAAATATTTTTTACTTATGGATTTCTACCAAAGGAAAATACGAGAGAAGATAATGAGTGTACAATAATTTAATCCTAATTGAATGGAATGTTTAAAATGAATAAATATTGATGAGTGGACAGTCAACAATGAATTTTCTATGATATATTATCTTACTAGCGGGACTTGATTACACTATCTCTTCAAAATATAATTGCTATTTTATTTTAAATACATGTAATGCTCTATAAATATATAGAACAAAATTTTTCATTTGCAGATAAAATTAGATTTAAATTGTTCATCAACAGAAAATTCTATTCGTCATTATCGGTAGTCTTTCAACTACAATATATTTTTATTTAAAAAAAACTAGCGCTACTATATAAAATTTTCCAGTTAATTGTCACGATTAATGCTATTCATTAGAAAAACGCTCGATTTTGAAATAACGACTTTGAAGTTTTCATAAAACTCTCTACATTCACGAATGTAGTAGAATAAAGTCAAATTTATATAATCGAAACCGAGAATTCAAACTATCATATGTTGAAAGAACACTAATGATTCATTTTTCGTCATCAGCTGTACTTTCAACTGTAAAATATTTTTTAGAAAGCGATGACGCCTAGCTTTTGCTTTTCGTTTTAATTATCTTGAGATTTAAAAAGATCAAAATTGCTTTTTTGTGACACTTCCTATAAACAAACTAAAACTCCTTTTCAAAATCGAAAAACGTGTACACAAAATGACAATTTTGAACAAATACATCAAGAAAATAAGAAAGGAAGGAAAAAAACTTGCGAAGAACTAGAGAAATGTTTTGCTTCACATCGCATAAATAATCTTTCGCACCGATAGTTCCTCATTATATATATATTTTTTTTCCATCATTTCATAGATGAGCACAACTACTTTCTCAGTTATTTGTCATGATTAATGCCATTCATTAGAAAAATAATCTTCCACACCGATAGTTCCTCATTTTATATTTTTGTTTTTCATCATTTCAAAGATGAATACAACAATTTTCCCAATTTCTCTCTTAAAAGATTCTAATACTTCAATCATAATTAATCAATCATGGTTTATTCCTCTCGATATTTTGTTACTTATATGTCTTTTCCTAGCCATTCTAATGTCTTTATTATTTTTCTTTATTGTTTTAACCGATAAAACATGTCACACAGTTCCTATTATGCTAGTTACGTCTTCATGTTTTGCTAATTTTTCATTAACGATTATTTTAATTTGGATGACAGTTATTACTCTCCAAAATGATCTCCAACAAATTTATTATCAAGATTCACTTTGTATTTTTCGAGGTTATATGACTTATGTAACGTTCTTTTGGTTATTTTATTCTTATTTTTTACAAGCAATATATAGTTATATAACAGTTATTTATCCAACTCGTTTGTTTTGGCAGTCAAGGAAATTTCAATTTTTTCTCATTATATTAATATGGATATTTGGTTTTATTTGTGCAAGTCCAGGTATAGCTACTGGTGAAATAAAATATCTTGTTGATGATCAAATATGTCAAATGCCATTTCATTTTTCGATCGTAACAATTTATAATATAATTTATATTTATTTAATACCTGTTAATGGTATAATATTTATTTATTTCAAATTAATTCTATATGTTAGAGAAATGAATAAACGTGTTACATTTGGAAATACATTATTACGTGCACAAAGAGAATTAAAAATGGTTTTTCGAATAGTTATACTTATATCAATTTTATTAACACTTAGTGTACCTTATACAATATTTGTTTTTATGGGATTTTTCACTTCACCACCAAAATATGATTTTCGTATTGCTTTGACATTTGTCGAGTCATCATTATTATTTGTCATGATTGTTGTATTTAAATTTACTGATCCAGTTCGAGCATCAATTATGAAAAGGCTACATCAACGATCAAATGTAGTCGCACCAACAATGACATAAATTATTTAATTTTTTCGAAATATTTTCACAAATTTCTTTTTATTACGTCCGACCAAGATCGATCTATTTATATGAAGACTTAACATCTAATTAGAGACCGTCAAATATAACATTTTATAAATAGCATTACGAGAACATCTCTTTATCTGAAGAGATTTATTCCATGTTACTCTTATCAAAGAAAACTACGCTCAAGCGCAATTTACAGATGTATTCAAGCGCGTTTATATTAATGGGTCATATTTTTATGCGTTTGAATGATCAAACGTGGTCGAACTGGAGCGTGTTTTATTCTTTGAATGAATATAGATGCGTTTAGACACATTTTGAAGTAAAGACAAAATTAAATAATTATTAAAAGTGTAGTGAATTTGGATTTTTTTGATGATTAGATATTCATCTTTTATCATTCAGAAGTTCTTAGTTTTATTTTTATATTGAATTCTATTTCTTTCTGGTTGTTAAAATAACAGATATTAACATTAAGAAATATAATTATCAAAAATTATTTCTTATTGATTTATTGAGCTGTTTTTTCTTGCAAAGACATTAATTTACTATCTTTTCGTAAAAATCGAGATCTTGTTTATTGCTTCAAGTATTTAGATTTATAACTAAATGTAGTACTTTCTAGTCTCACTTATCGTACAATTTGTACATGTATAAATGTGAAATAAATTTCTAATTTGAATGCTTCATGTGGATGGGTATGGTCTAATGTCTTACACATAGACATACCCTTAAGTCAACTACAATGTTAGACACGATGCAGTAAGCATTAGTATGTAAAGTAAAAATGGGTTAATTCCTCTTCTTATACACTCTCATCTTTTATCGATCTTTCTCTCAAATGATGTCGATGAAGCACTACCCGATAATTTCAATTCTTCTAACAGCATTTATCACATAGTTTGAAGCTCGTAACTTGGATTTTTCACCAACTATACGATTTAAAATCGTTCTGATTTTGTAGTGCAGATAAGGCAGCCATCGATATACCTTTACAAAAAACAATAAAAAAAACTGAAAAGAAGTGGGCGATTCTCTTGAAAATATAATAACGTTTATTGACTCTTCAATATATCACTTGATTCTTTATCCTTTCTTCAATTACATTTTTTTTTGTATTTATCAAAGGAAAGATTAGGACGATTAGAAATAATGGAGAGAATATTAAATTTCCAATTATTGATATGTGAATAAATGCATCTGTTTTATTTCAATTAAATTGACTTAAGATATCATATCTATGTTTTAGAAATAAAAGCACACATTTTTCAATAAAATCATTTGAGTTTAGAATCAACTATGAGTAGAATCAGAATATATTACTATATTACTGTCACTGGTTTCAGGTAAATAATATTGATTTTTATCATTCATTTTGTTAACATTTTCATCGATTTTTATATTTTAGTCCTACAGGTTTGCTTTTTATTCTATTTTATGTGTTTTTCTATAAGTTCATTACTTTTATAGTTAAATTAGAACTTCACATATGTGAGAAAATTGCTCAATATGGTGAATGTTCGACAAATAGTGCATGCGGTTGTTTTCATAGGATAGGTACAAATGAGGGCACAAACATTTGTGGTTTTCTCTGGCCAACATGTTCTCAACTTGTACCATGTAACTCTTCAGACAATTCATGTACTCAATCGAATACGATTTATGTTCCACATCATCAATGTTATCCAATTGCAATGATTGATCAAAAAATGTGTCCACCAATGATAAGTGAGTAGACCGATAAGTGATAGATACAACATTTCTTATTCACACTTTCAAGATATGTATAATTATAACTTTGATCTATTTTAGATAAGATCAACTCTACATCGAAGCATAATGGAATAACTACAGTTGGAAGAAATGAGTTTAGAAATCAATTAAATCAACTCTTGAGGGTGTGGGTATGGATATGGATATTGTATTAATCATAAATCCACATCCTCACTCACACCCTCAAATTAATTCAATCACCCTACCGGTTTATTATTTGATGTTGAAGGAAATCTTTATGTCACTAATTGAAACAATCTTCAAGTTCAAAAATACTTAATAGACTTTTAAATAGAAAATATTTGATTTGAAGAGAAAAAAATATATTTTTTTGTTTTAATTTTTAAATACAATGAAATTGAAATTTTGCCAACGAATTAGCGGGATTCATGAATACAAATATAACTTGTATCGATATTTTTCCTATCATCAATCAAACCGTAATATATTCACAAGTGCTAATCTTCAAGATGTAGAGGTCATGAGTTGCCTAATTGGAATTCGAATATAAACGAACAACTGACTGTTAAGTATCGATTCGAAAATAAACGAAAAGATAGTCTCCAAGCATCTTGAGGGTGTGGGTGTGGACTGAGTAAAAAATGTATCCAAACCATCGTTCATCTACCTTTGCACTCACAGTCTTTTACGGATCCTCAATTGAATTTGATACTTGTAATTGAAATCTCATAGTAAACGAATCAACAAGAATTTATATGTCTATTACATCTTTTCTTTTTGGCAACGCATAGATGGATGTAGATATTAAATGTATTCTTGATCAGTATTCACACGCTGCTTAAATTTAATTAAAAATCAAATAGCAAAAATAATTCATAATGAGATATATTAGAATAGAGTGACAGTTTGTAAAAAAAAAACAATATTATCTCTCGACAAACAAAACGCGTCAACTTGCTATGTTATTTTCTATATAAATTGCACATTTTGAATGAATGGTAATTTATGAATAATTAAAAATATTCATATATCAATGACATTACTATATATCGTTAAAACATTTGATTTGTGCTTTTGCTTTTCGCTTCAACTTAGTGAATATGTTATAATTTAAACTTCTAACAAGTAATGTGTTGACTTTGAAGATCTCGTGTAAATAAATTCTAAGCATACTGCAGTCACATTTAATATTATGTATCACCTTGTGAAGATCAGCGATCGTGAAGAACTAAAAAGTAGCGAAATGAATTTAATTATATAATATAAAACAATACAAGCAGGATTTTCAATCACTATTAGTCAGAAATGTTGAAATCTTACTCTATTATTGAATAAATACTCCGAAAGAAAAAGACTATTTTAATTTCAAAATAAAAAATTTTTTTCTTTGCAACGTGCAATCGTCAAAGCTTACATGGCTTTGATTTTTTCTATTTACTTTTAATTCAACTGACGAAAAATGCTTTTCATAATAAAAACATAAGAAATGTTTGTTTTTCAATCCACTTCCTATTTACTTATGTTTATTCATCATAATCTCCATTGTTACTATAAAAGTGCATACATTTACATCGAATTCATACTTTTTCTTTCATTTCATTGGTATAAAATAACTAAACAAAGAAACGTTCGCTTCTACATAGAATGTTTGATCGATTGGATTATTTCATGTTTTTTATTCTCATTCTGCTCATTTTGAAACCTGCAAGTGTCTATACCGTTACTTGCAATTGGCCTAGTATGAATATTTTCAACAATGATCAAAATAAATTGTATATGATATATATATATTGTTTAAATTTAGGCGTATATTGCAAACTCAACTGGCAGCCCTTGGTACAACCTTGGTGTTGCCCAGATTGTAAAGCTTCTTAAAAAATTAAATTTATTATTTGTATGTTCGTTTTTCAGTTTTTAATACCTGTGGAAATAATTATGGGGAATGTATTGATCCTTCTGCTGCGTCAAGAAATACTCCAGCTCCAATATCAAGTATATTTAGAGCAAGAACATATAAACCTACATCCTATTCTGTGATGTGCTGAACATTGTGGAAACAGTTTCATACAATTCCTTTAGTTTATGATGATTTAATTAACGGAATTCCTATTCGTCACGAATAGCTTAGAATAGATTCAATTCCGTTAATTGGATCATCGTAGAATAAGTCGAATTTTTTGAATGATGTTGTAGTTTGCAGAATCGAATGAAACTAATTCCACAATGTTAAAATGTAACATCATTTTTATTAGCTACAACAGGCATACTTGTTCCTACACTTACCATTGGGGGGGATTCATCATATTTGTTTGTCTGTTTGCTGTTTTTTATATTTACAACATACGACGACTACGACAGTCACGGATTTCTACTGTTAATGGAATGAATCAAACAGTAGTATATCAAAATGCACAACAATCTACAGGGGAATCAACAGTACTTTTTGATGTTCAATCTCGTTATAATTCCAATACTTCAACTCCATTTCCACCAAATTCTGCTAGACCTGAAGCGCCACCACCACCTTATGAAGCTGCAATTACTAATTCTCTATCCCAATGTCCATCAGAACCGCCACCACCACCATATGAAATAGCAACGATTGAACAGACGATAATATAACTTTAGTTACAATTCTTATTCAACTCTCTAATCTAAATCTATTTAAAGAGATAAGAATAAAAATTTTAAGAATAATATTTTTCCACACTTTTTATTGTATATGAAACAATTTAGTAATAATAAAAAACCAATCATCTTTATAATAAAAAGCTTTTTTTATTCACATTTTATCTACACCTTCAAGATTTGTTTACAGTAACAAAAAATGAGTCATCAAAGAATGAATGCGTATGTTATAAAAATTCTTTCATATAATCCAAAGATGAATAATTTTTACGAGATAAAACGAAATCTTCAGTCTTTTTTTTCGCACAATTTCGTCAACGAAAGAATGAAAGAGAACATTCTATCATCAAAGGTTCTTCTTTCTGAGGGTGAGATAAGGTGTCAAAATACAGTATGTTTTTTCTGCTCTGAAACTTGTTCAGAAGATTGAATTTCGAACTAAATTCATCGTAAGTCATGTTGAGGAATTTGGCAACAAAGATTATAAACAAACAATATCATGAAAGAGTTCAATGTTGATGGGTGTGGGTGTAGGTGTGGATATTATATTAATCATAAATCCACACCCTCACTCACACCCTCAAATCAATTCAATCACCCTACCGGTTTATTATTTGATGTTGAAAGAAATCTTTATGTCACTGATTGAAACAATCTTCAAGTTCAAAAATACTGAACTTAGTTTTAAATTGGCAATATTTGCTTTGAAAAGAAAAAAATATATTTTTTTGTTTTAGTTTATAAAAGAATGAAACAGAAATTGAATTATTTTACACACACCCTCAATAATGTACTTTTTACATAAAACCGTACGAGAGTACGAACACAAATACTGTCGTTTTATCTCTAGTTCGACTTGTGTTCGGTCTATGACAAATATCTTTCCAGTGATGACATAAGATAAAATATTGAAATATTTGCTGATTGTTATCTACAGAAGAAGAAGAACGTATAAAAGTGAAGCAAATATTGTGAAAGATATGAAAATAAATTACATTTCACTTTTTGGGAAGAAGATGTGGACGATATCATCACTATTCTTGGTAGTATTCATAGCTGTTGCACCGCCTGGCGCAAGTAAGACAATTATTTAGATGTAAATTAACGTTGCTACCTTGCTGTCTTAGTATCTAGAATTATATAGCGTGAGAAATCAATTATCTCTTGAAAAAGAAGCCGAATACGAATCAGTATAACTGCTTTTATCGACTCTTATCTTCATAGTGTCGTTGACTTTTCCTGTTAGTATATATAAGATAAAAGTTGGTGCAATCAGTCAATAAAACAGAACTCTCATTTTCAAAATTATTTCATAAACTAAAACGTCTTCTAGTTATAAACATAAATAGATGCACAACGAGCTAACACATTTTTTAGACACACTTTGTTCAAGAGGAATATGGGCTAGAGGTGGAAAAACCGTCATTGGTGGTACGCAAGGAAATGCAACGAATCAATTGCACTCTCCTGAAGGAATATACATGGATTCAACCAATGCTTTATATATAGTAGACCGATTGAACCATCGTATAATAAAGTGGGAACAGGAAGCAATTACTGGAAATGCAGTTGCTGGTGGAATTGGTCCTGGAGTAAAACCAGGTGAACTATTTCAACCAAGAGCAATGACAGTGGACAAACAAGGTACGATGTATATTATTGACAACAGTATGCCAGGTAGTCGTGTGACACGTTGGCAAAAAGGATCAAAAGTGGGTGAAGTTCTGTTTGACTTTAAACATATTATTGCTGGTGGTATAGCCTTCGATCCGAACGATGAAGACTATTTATATCTTGCAGATCGCTATGAACATAGTGTGCTTAGATTTAATATCAAAAATATTACTGGGAATGGTGAGATCGTGGCTGGCGGAAATCATATAGGACCGGCTCTCAATCAACTTGAACAGCGTAAGTCACAATATTATTGATTTTTCAAGATAACAAGATCATTCCAATTGATGAAATAAAACGCATGTATATTCTCATATGAGAATCATGCCAACAAAAAAGATGATAAGAAGTTTAGAATAGTTGGAATGATTTTCTTAGTTTTTCACTCGTACTCTTGCCATTCTGTTGTCAAATAACAAAATATATATGTTACTTCACCGTACTTTTGTTTTCAGCCACGCATATAGTAATCGATAGCAATCGAAACTTATACATCGCAGATACTCGAAACAGTCGTATTGTCGTATGGTCTGAGGGGGCAAAAGTCGGTGTCGTGGTTGGAGGTGGCCATGGGGCGGGAAATCAAACAGATCAACTATCTTTTCCAGAAGCTTTTTTCCTCGATCGTCTAACAAACACTATTTATGTTGCTGATAAAAATAACAATCGTGTCATGCGTATTTCAGCTGATGCTCCAAATGCTGGCTTCGTGATTGCTGGAAATGATGGTAAGGGCAATGCGGCTCATCAATTACCATCTCCACATGGTATAGCATTGGACAGTAAAGGCAATCTGTATGTTTCAGATAATGAAAACGATCGAATTCAAATGTTCATGTGCAGTAGTAGTGCCAAGTTCATCGGCTCTCTCTACTTTATAACATTAACTATAATTTTTATTCAATAAAATAATTTAATAAAACTATTTGAAGAGTATACATCTTGAATTTATAGATCTAATAGCCTTTTTTGCTTATAAAAATAAACTTCAAAATAGTAAAACGTGTTTCGTGTAATTACGCCATCTGATTTCTTGTATGCTTACTGATTGACTATATGCACCAATTGAAATTGCCTATTCTATGATTAAGACTATCGTCATTCGATGTGTACATTCTTTATACATAACAATATGATTCAACTTGAACTATTATCTAATGAATTATTACTTGAATTATTTGAATATTTAAATATTAATCATCTTCTTCAAGCTTTCTTTGGATTCAACGATCGATTCAATCAGCTTCTCTATACACATTTTCGTGATCATCAGTTAAATTTTCATTCAATATCTAAAGATAATTTTGATCTTATTTGTCAACAATATCTTCCATCTATTATTGATCAAGTTCATTCACTTTATCTTTCGAATAAAGAAACATCTGATTTACCTCAACTACTTTTTTCTCGTGGTTTTACTCTTGATCGATTTATTAATTTACATTCACTTTCACTTTACAGTATTCGCTTTCTACATCAATTCAATCAAATAATATATCAATGTCGTTATCTTCCTCATCTCATTTATCTCAATATAATAAAATGTCCTACCTTTGAATTACGAGAATATATTCTCGTTCAATCAATAAATACTATTTGGAGTATACCAACACTTACTCATTGCAATTTAAATGGTATTCAAAGAAGTGAACAATGGGTATGCAGAATTACATCAGTATCGACCTCGATTAAATATCTTTCTATTGAAAAAAGTCAATGTGAATTAAGTTCATTATCGCATCTTTTAAAATGTACACCTCATCTCAAAAAACTTTCTACAGTTGTTCGATGTTCCAAGTCAGATGAATGTCTAGATTGTGTTATTCCTTCAATGAAATCATTAAAACTTGATTTTCGAGGATCTGCCGATTTATTAAAAAGTATTTTTCAGACAATGCCGAATCTATGTCATTTAACAATTGATATATCTCAAATGTATTTAGATGGACATGCATGGGAACAAATTATTAACAATTATTTACCAAAACTAAAAATATTTCAATTAAAAATGAAATTTCAATTTGAACAAAATAGTGATAGTATGGTAGAGAATGTTGATAAACTTTTAATGACATTTCAAACGACATTTTGGCTCGAAGAATATCGATGGTTTGTTCGATGCCATTGGGATCCATCAGATACACTTCGATCAACTATTATCTATACATTACCATATGCATTTAATGAGTATTCATATTCAAATGGATTTTATTCGAAATCAACCTGTCTTAATGAAAAAGATTATTGGACATATGATAGTGTAGATATGATAACTCTAAACAACAATAGAAAAACTTCAGACGATACTCATACAGTTCCTGTCTCTCATTTTCCTAATATTCGTCATCTTGAAATCAATTTTCCATTGAATGAACATTTTTCATTACTTTTTCCATCATTCCATCGTCTAACATCACTTCATATCCACGTCGATACCAATCCTAATTATGATCAACTACAAATGTTAATCAATCAAGCACTTTTTCTTTATTCACTAAGATTTAGTCCTGCTCAAAAATCTCGTTATGAACTGTTTCAATCAACAAGCAAATCAATTCGTCGACTTGAATTTCCATATACACCATCGACTCGTTCAAACAATTTTTCTAATCAAGATTGTTATAATTTAATTAATTCACCGCTAGGAATTCAATGTGAAGTTCTTTCGATCTGTTTTGAAAACCGCATTGATATTCTTAATCTTATTCAAAAGATGTCTAATCTTCGATTATTAGTTTTTAAATACGAAGATGATAATGAATTTTTTCGAAGTGTAACACCTGGAGGAGATGAATTTGTTCAATGGTTGAAAAATCATTTATCACCGTCACATTCAATCATTAGAGATCCAAGATCATTTGCTATTCGAATTTGGATCGATCGACAAAATCATAATATCAAATCATCGGAATATCAAAATATATTTTCTTGGTTTTTACCGTTAATAAAACGATTTTTTTCATAAGAACTTGCGCATATATTCCGAGGAATATAATGAATAAAAAATGTGCCCATTCATTTTGCGTTTGATGACTAGGCAAAAAATTGTAGAGAACAGAAAAGAAAAATGATGACAAGGCAAAAAAAATAGTATGCACTATATAAATATAACCCATTTTTCTCGTTCTTTCTTCATTTGATTCATATAACGTTTATTTTACCACTGAAAACAAGAAGAAAAACCTAAACACAAATGTCGTCTAAACAACAATCGCATCAACGAGTTTTTGTAGTTACTGGTGCTAACAAAGGTATTGGATATGAAGTTGTAAAAAAACTTTCTACAAATCATCCAAATGATTTAATTTTACTTGGTAGTCGTGATCAAAAACGTGGTGAAGAAGCTTTAGTTCAACTTGGTTCACCTTCAAATGTAAAAGTTCTTGTACTTGATACATCATCAAAAAAAAGTATTGAACAAGCAAAAGAAGAACTTCAAAATAAATATGGTGGTCATCTAGATGTATTAATCAACAATGCTGGTATAGTTAAAAATGACTCCAGTTTGAAAGCATTGAAAGATACATTCGATACAAATTTTTATGGAGTCAAATACATGAATGATACAATGTCACCGATGTTAAGAGATAGTGGACGTATTGTTAATGTAAGTAGTGGTATAGCAGCGATGACAATGAAAGAATGTTCACAAGATCTTAAAACAAAATTTTTGGATCCAAATCTAACAGATAGTCAATTAGAACAATTGTTTGCAGGGTAAGTTTACGAAAATAAAACATTTATTTAATTTCATTATTTTTTTTTATTTTCATTATAAGATTATTCAAAGCAGTTGAAGAAGGAAAAGATCCAGCAACAGTTGGTTTTAATCCTGTTAAACGGTCTGCTTTCGATGATTACTTTCTATTATATTATGGTACATCAAAATTAGGCGTTAATACTCTAACACGTATAGAAGCTCGTGACTGGGAAAAAAAATATTCAGCTAAAAATGTCATTATTAGTGCAGTTTGTCCAGGATTTTGTGCAACTGATATAAATGGTAATGCACAAGGCGGACGATCAGCTGAACTAGGAGCTGATTCTATTTTACATGCTGTTTATACTGAAAATTTGGAAAATGGACAATTTTGGAGAGATGGTAGTCAGCTACCATTAGGAAGTAAATAATGATATATTCAAAATTAATTATTGACTGTAACAAGAACAATTTGATCAAGATTTCACATAAATAAATTTCTCTGCGTTTAAAATGACTTTTTAGATTGCATGCATATTTTCTCACTTTGTATTTGCCTCCTTTTTTTTAACTGTAGAGAAAAACATATTCTAATTAATCATCTCTTGTAAAGTCCTAATATGTTTCTAATTTTTTCGGAAAACCATCTCAAATTTTTAATAGTTTTATTTTCGAAAAATGCTTATTAATTACATAAACTATTTAGAAAGTCATTGAATTCTTTCTTAACTCATCAGAAATTGTCCGAAGTGACTTTTAGTGAAAGAATAAGAATGAAACTAAGAATTTTAACAACTTATATACGTATGTTGTTCCATTCTCATTGTACATCTTCCCTTCTTCCTTCATGTTAGAAGACTCATTGATTTAATAAGGGTGTGGTGCAGTGTGGATTTATTTTCTTTTCAGCTACACCCTCAGTTTTTTTGTTTCAATTCAAAATGTTCAATGCCAAATCGATGGTGATGATTGAGAATTATTTGCATTGACTTTTGCTACTTCTTTTTGTTATGAAGATGTTTGATCTCTACATTATCATTATGTTCTATATATTGAAGATAGTAAAATCAAACTATTTCCGGCAAAGCATAAAAGAGGATGTAGTAGAAATTTTTGTAAATTAATTGATCTTTATTTAAATTAAGTTGTTTTTCATATTTACGCAACTATAATACTTGATATGTGATAAACAGTTGATAAAGTAAAGTTACTGCTAAATAAAAACATTTTATGTAGTTCGATAATCAAATGCATATAAGCCTATGTGATATAACTTACTTTTTACTAATTAACTCATTAAATCTATCTGGATGCACGTAGCCACTTACTATATTTATTGTATCTCTTATAATAAAATCTTGCGAATGTGAATGTTGATACAGAAAAATTCAACAAACAAGTCCATATTATTACATTCTTTAAACTGGATAGTTTCACTCATTTTTACTACATAGAAATATAAATCGGACCATTGCCGTGTGCCAATTCACAAACAATTTATGAGGCATTAAAAAAGAAATTTTAAAATATTGTATCTACAAGATGAATGATAAATTAGATTATTTATATTTTTAATGAACTTTATTCTTCGCTAATAAAAAATATTTTAAAAGTGACAAAAAAGAATTGTTTATCAAAAACTGTTTCAGTCAAGATCAATCAGAAATTTTTGTATTCGATGGTTGTCTCTATCGACAACATAAAGATTACCATATCGATCAAATGATAAATCACTTGGATATCTGAGTTGCGTGGATTCGCTTCCAGATTGTTTTTCGCCAACGACAGAAACAGCTTCTATTGCATCTGGAGACCAACGTGTTATTTGATGACTTTCCGCACTCGACACATAAATATTACCCATAGGATCAACAATTACACCTATGGGCTCAGTCATTGAACTGTGATTTTCTTCATAAACTTGACCTGAAGCAATAAGAATGCCTTCAGTTGCATTTTTCATCCATTTCATCACACGATTATTTGTGCCATCCGCTACATAAATTGAATAATATTCATTGACGAAGATATACTTAGGTTGATTGAGTTGATTAAGCTGATTTCCTTGCCCAGACCCGCCTGCTACAACTGTACCTGCTGTATATCCTTCTTGCCAGCGCATGACTTGATGCCCTACCCAGTCAGAAACATAAAGATCTCCATTATTATCCATTGCTAAACCCCAACAAAGAATATAGTTTATCAATATTTTTTGATTATGATTATTTTGACGAGACCATAGCATCACCCGCATGTTGCGATAATCACAAATGATGATATATTTCTTCTCTGTATCAAGAATTACATCCACCGGAGAATTCAATTGATCTATTGCATTCCCTCTTCCGTTTCCACCTGCAACTATTTCACCTTCGTCTGCATCAAATTTCCATTTAACAATACGATGGTTGTTACTGTCGGCAATATAAATACTATCATCATCATCATTATCAACATAAATACCACAAGGCGCATGTAATTGATATAATCCATCTCCAAATCCATTTCCTCCAGCAATCGTTATTCCGTTTTGTTTCCATTTAAGATTAATCTTGTCTAAAACAGATGAAATTTATAGTTTCAAATATCTTGAGAGTGTGAATAAGAATGTTGCATCTATCATCCATTGATACACTCACTTTCAATTGGTGGACACATTTTTTGATCAATCATTGTAACTGGATAGCAAAGTGGAAAATCATCACATTGAGGGTGGTGAACACAAATGGTATTTGGTTGAAGACATGAATTGTCCGAGGAATTGCATCGTAAAAGACGAGAACATGTTGGCCAAAGAAAACCACAAATGCCTGTATCATTATCAGCACCTATCATATGAAAGCATCCACACGCAATATTTGTAGAACATTCACCATATTGAGGTGTTTTCTCACATATCTGAGATTTGATTTGAACTATGAAAGTGATAAACTAATACATATAAACATATAAAATAAAATAGAAATCAAACCTATTATGCTAAAATACAAAGTGAATGGATGTTAACAAAATTAATGATAAAAATCAATAATTATTTACTTGAGAATAATGAAAACGATATAGCAAAGGATCTTGATTGTATTCATAGTTGATTCTAAACTCAAATGATTTTGTTTGAAAAATGTGTGCTTTTATTTCTAAAATATAGATAATATCTTAAGTCAATATAATTGAAATAGAACAGATGCATTTATTCACATATCACTAATTGGAAATTTAATATTCTCTCCATTATTTCTAATTGTCCTAATCTACCCTCTGATAAATACAAAAAAAAATGTAATTGAAGAAAGGATAAAGCATCGTGTGATATATTGAAGAGTCAATAAGCGTTATTATATTTTTAAGATGACTGCTCACTACTTTTCAGTTTTTTTTTCGTGAAGGTATACCGATGTCTGCCTTATCTGCACTAAAAAAATCAGAATGATTCCAAATCGTTTTTGTTAATAAAGGTGTGGCTGTGAGTATAGAAGGAGGGTAAACACACCTACACTCACACCCACACCCTCATAATTTATTCTAATTCATAATATATACATACAATCTTCTGGATCCTGTTCTACTAGGGTTAACAACTGTACACTAAAATATTTAAAAAGAAAATAATCTTATTTTCTTTTTATTTTATACATTACTTCATCAATTCCAACTCTATTATTGATGTACATAGTTATTATTCTATAGAAAGTTCAATATTTTTATAATCTAAAATAGAGAAAACATTTTTTTTTTCTTTCAAGATCATTGATTGATACTGATATAATCATAACAAACATAAATTATGTCATTGAATATTGTTTTTGTATTTATAAAATATTTCATTAATTAATCGACTTAGATCAAAACAGAAAAATATTAAAATAAAGCTTTGATTTATTTTTATTTTAAATGTTTGAAACTAACTTTAAAATGATCTACATAGTATGCTGTGAGTGTCTACCTTGTGGCTGTGGATGAGTAAAGAGCAGAGAGACATCTGCACCCCAACTCACACCCACACCCTCAAGATGAATCTGATGTATTCGCTGAATGTCGATAAATCATCCGAAATGCTATGTATTTATATATTTCTGTCTGCATATATCGACATAATTCTGATATACATACTTATGAGCTATTAGAAAGATAAAAATCGATGAATATTTTCATGCTGATAATTTCTTCTCAAATAAAAGATTAGATTATTTAATGTTAAAGCTAGATTTGAAAACGAAATGTTATCATGTATTGAATGTTGACTTACTTTTACTTAATAGAGAAGTACTTGACTACGATAGATAAAGGGTTTATATGATATTATTGTGATTAACATCTCAAACCGTATTAAGATAAGTGACTAGCATGAGATTTTAAGAAAAAATTTTGTTTTCTAAATTGCTTTGATGTCCCTTCAAGGCTTAGGGAAGAATAACATTTCTTTTCTTTTTTTGTGAGAACTATGATTGATATTTTGTACAGGATGAAATCTTAAGGGTGTGGGTGTCTGACTCTTTTTTACCCACAGTCATATCCACACCCTCAAGATTTATCATTTGTATTTAACTCTTCTTCAATATTCATGTACTTGTTCGAGAATATTTTCCTTGTTGCATGACATTTTGACTGTTAAATAGCAAATGATTTACTCTTTTCTGTTTTACAGCACCTTAGTTTTGTCAAAACATTAGTTATTTCATATTCAGTCTTTGCATTACACATGATTGTTCTTTCAACAGTAAAATCTTGTCTGTTTTTATATCTAGCAATAATAACGCTAGACATCAAACACAACTAATTATGACGACAGAACGCAAGAAAATGTCGGAATTGAAAGGGTTAAAAGAAATAGATAAAAAAAGAATTACTTATGACAAAAAGAAGAAATTCAGTGAGAAAAGAAAAAATCTCTCAATTATAATTCGTAGAGTACTTTTTTTGATACTTATACTTGTTATTGCGCTATCAATGAGATTCATTGATTATCATGCGTGTTAGATGTCAGTCATGAGGATGTGAAAGAAACACAATATTCACACCCTCGTGAGGTGTTATCGAAGCTTTCAAAATTTATATAGCAAAAAAACAAAAGTGTGTAATAACATTCCAGACAATTCAACAATGAAAGTGATTAATATTCAGATTTTTTTAATAATCATTACAAATGATACCATAAGGAATATTGGATTGAAAAATAGTTAATGAACGAATATTCGTCAGAATAATCATTGTAGAAAAACGATTCTAAGCATATAGATGTGGAATGTGGGTTTATACTCTCTACAACCTCACACTCATATTCACATTCACATCTATCCTAAACTTAGAAAACATATAAGTAGGAGGAGTAATCGAAAGAAAAAAAGAAAGAGAACGAACAAAAATGGATTTTTATGTAAAAAACAGGAAAACAACCGTCGACGCAATCTTTCATACTTGTAAATGACTAACTCATCGACGATATTATTCTTTTTGTAATCTCATTATTGCAGCTATTTACATGACAAACTTGAAGATAAAATATATTACTGCAAAATTTTATCACAAAATAAAAGAATACAATAAGTAATCGGCCATCCATGACTAACTTAATATTTTTATAGTCGGAAAAATCCATCATCATTTTGACAAGTAAAAATACTAATATACACGTCAATTTTCACAAGTTTTCTTTCTTTTTTTCTTCGTCTGGTTGAGAATAAAGACTAGTACAATCATTTCTTTCATTCGTATTCTGACGTTTCCTTTTTTATTCAACATATTACTTATTGATAATTATAAAACACATTTTACTATTAAAGGCAAGGGCAATTTAATTAACATTAAAAGCAAAACTGAAAATACCGTTCAGTTCTTGACGAAGAAACTGTGTTATCTGTTTTATTCTATTAGTTTTTTTTAGTTCCATTGAGAATGCATCCTTTATCGTTCATGGTTACACAATTACTTATTTTCTTTTCGATTATTGGCCCTCTAACATTTGGTCTACAAGCTACCGATTTTTACGTCCGTGACTTACCACTTTTACCAAAAGGCGCTTCCTCTATTCGTATGCACGCTGGACTTCTACCTGTTGATCTACAACATCATGGATCTTTGTTCTTTTGGCATTTTGAGAAAAAATATCTTAGTGACAAATTAAGAACAGTCATATGGCTTAATGGAGGTCCTGGTTGTAGTAGTCTGATTGGAGCTTGGATAGAAATTGGTCCTTTTCGATTTCAAAATAAAAATACCATGATCGAAAATGATGGATCATGGCATTTGTATACTGATCTTCTGTTTGTCGAACAGCCTGCTGGTACTGGTTTTTCCACCATTGGTACAAACTCATATATTCATGAACTTGATGAGATGGCTAATCAATTTCTTGTCTTTCTTGACCAATACATCAAGATTTTTCCAGAATTACTTGAAAATGATATTTACTTAGCTGGTGAATCTTATGCTGGTCAGTATATTCCATATATAGCGAAAGCGATTCTAGAACAACGATCAACATTGAAATTATGTGGTCTTTTGATTGGAAATGGTTGGATTGATCCTGTCACCATGTATAAATCATATTTACCATTTGCAGTAGCAAATAATTTAGTCGTTAAGAATTCTGCGCTTTATGACCGTATTAATATTCAAGTCAAACAATGTGAACAGGTACTTTCCAAGCAGATGCATGTTTCCGAGGAAGCTTGTTATCCTATCCTCTGGGAGATATTAATGAACGGTGCAATGAATAATCACCATGTAGGAAACCAAAAAGGTAGATGTGTGAATATCTACGACATCCGGCTAGATGATACATTTCCACAGTGTGGTAGAAATTTGCCGCCAGAGTCGAAGTATTTTATGTCTTACTTGCGTCGACAAGATGTCATGTCAAGCATACACATTAATGATAAGAAAGTGAGATGGGCAGAATGCTCGGATTCTGTTTCAGATACGTTTACAGCTAATCATTCTAAACCATCGATCACATTCTTGCCTAATTTACTTAAGCAAATTCCAATTATTCTATACAGTGGTCAATATGACTTGATCTGTAACCATCAGGCGACGGAAGCAATGATTGATAGTATGACATGGAATAAAGGGACTGGTTTTGATTTTGGTAATGGGACATTCTCTCCAAAAGAGCTGTGGATTGTGGATGGTGAATCTGCTGGTCTCATTCGAAGTGCACGTAATTTAACTTACATTCTTTTCTATGGTGCCAGTCACATGGTACCCTATAACTATGCACGTCGATCACGTGTTATGTTACATCAGTTTATACAGTTGGATCTAATCTCATTTCCTGATACAACAACGAGAAAGAACACAGAAGAGTCTACTCGATCAACACGTCACGTCGCTTTTATTATATTGATTGTTATCATTGTGATTCTAGCACTGACTGGTCTTATTCGTTTTTTTGTACACAAACGAGATCCTACCAGACTATCGACACCACTCAGTATTTTTCGTGTGCTTCGATCAAAAATTCGTAATGTTGAGCAACAACAATGGGCGATGTACTCACGCTTGAACGATTCTAATGTAGATTTGGATGTCGTAGATAGTGAAACTTTTGTATGATATGAGCACACGTGTGGATGTCAAATTCAATATCCAGACCCAGACTTACTTGAAAAGAATTCGATATCATATGAGTGATGGATTGTTTGACGAGAAACATTTGTACGGTAGAAATTATTTTATTTACGAAAAAACTTATTGAAATAAAAATAAATAACAATGTTGTAATCTGATATTTCATGTATTAAGGAAATGAATTTTGAAATTTTATAGATTTCCATTCATCACACTCATATCATCAATCATGTACATCTAATTGTCACGAAAATTTCATACACCAAGATTAGCTCTTACAATGTGTGAATGAAACAAGAAAATAATCCAAATAAACTGTCTTTCGATTCGTGAATCTTATATATTTTTGTTAGTGCGTGTTGGTAATATCTTTTTAACTACAACCATATACTCAAATAATAACATTTGTTATTAGATTCTTTTCCAGTTGTACAATGCCATGGATGTTCTATTTGTTGTTGTTCATTAAGATTTTTTGCATGATTTGCAAATACAAGTCGTTTAGAATTTAGTATATCTTCATAGAACGTCAAACGAATGAGTCGAGGAAAATATGTGCTTGCAATTTCAACGAAGTTAAGTAATGTTGTTGTGTTTTCGTGAAAAAATAATACCTCCTTTGGAAGCCTAAGTGTAATCAAATTTGGAAAGATTTTCGATAAATCACGAAGAAGTGAGCTTTGAGAACAATAACTTTCGAGCCGAAAATGTCTGATCTGCTTCAAATATCTCATAGAGACAAGTTCCTTTAGTTGTTCAATGATTCCAATCGTGTTATTGAAATTAGTATTAATTGCAATAGTATGTAAATTAGGTAAAAGATGGATTAATTTGGAGAAAAATTGACATATTTCACGTATATCACCAGATCCCATGCTTACAACGAACGATATTTCCTTCAAATATGAAAGTTTAATGTTGGTATTTAATTCCAACGCATTAGATAGAGTTTTCGGAATGCAATTACTATAGAGACAGAGCGTAGAGCAATAAAGTAATTGCGGTAAAGTAATATGTGAATCATATTCAAGTTTAAGTTCAAATGTTGTTCGACAAATTGTATAGTCGAAGGGTTGAGGTTGTGGAATAGTAAAAGTGATATAGTTAGAATCTGGTAATTCTTGAACATTTGCAAACAACGAATTAGGTGGAAGGTTTGTACGAATAAAATATTCGAAAGTTTCTAAGTGAGTAAAATTGTTTACTAATCTATGAAATGATTCATAGTCTGAGAAGTTTTTTTCTATTATAATAGCAATCAGTGTGAGTGATGTGAGATTATCCTTAAACATGTTTAAAAACTTCATCGTAATATTGAAATTTGATTGATGTTCTTGTATACCACCCTGAGTAAATTCTAAGTGCAGTTTATGTAATGTTTCTGGTACTTTGAACTGACCCAAAAATCTTGAACGAATAGAAGATAAGATTGATAAATGGAGTTCTTTAAGATTTGTCGTCATTAAGAATAGTTTTCTTAATATTCTAATTGATAGTATATTGATTGACAAACGTTTCAGATAGGGCATTTTAGAAACACCATGGAGATGAAGAAAACCACCTGGAGTCAATAGAGTCAGTGTTGTTAAGTTGGATGATGCAAGTAAAGAAATAGACTTTAGACTTTGATATTTTCTAGTAAAAAATATGGACAGCTCAGACAATGATGGAAGACATGCAGCGGCAATGATTAACTGATCTTGTTCTTCGGATGTACTGGATCTATGGAACTCTATTGTGAGAGATTCTAAGTTAGTTAAATGATGAACATGCGGAGAAATATTTTGAAGTAATTCTTCGCTATTCAATTTGAGAGTTCGGATTGTTTGTTTGTGTAATGGAAGTATATGTTTCAGGAATAATAGGAAATATTTATTGGAAATTTTGCCTTGTGTGAGATCAATATCGATGTAATAGGGTTTGATTATACGTTGAAAACGTTCGTTAAGATCGTTAAATGAGTAAAGTATACCGAAATTATGTAGGTATCGAAAAATAAATAAGATTATTTCATCGGGTAAAGACTCCATTATATTGACAAACTCAAATGAAGAAAAAAAAACACAAAACATGCGTCTTTGGTTTGTCAGTTAAAGGTAATGAAGAGAAAAAAAGAAAAATTGTGCAATAACTAATTTATGAGTCATTATTATGATTCTATAGAGTGACTCAGAAGAAAAATGATTGAGTAGAAAAGAGCGATTCACAAACTGACATTTTTCCTTTCTATCGAACCATATACAGATCGAAACAAATGAAAAAAAGATGTCTTATAAAAAGTAAATCTTAAACATTTGCAAAAACGAAATATTCATCAATATCTTTATGTGTTATTATCATTTATCTAGGGCGTGTGGATGATGTTAAATACTCTTTTGACTACGTCCACACCCATACCCTCAAGATGTACAACTCAATGGGATTTCAATCTATTTAATTGTGATTTTCCATATTATTATGAAGAAAAATTTTATATTTAATCCTCTGTTATACCTATAATGATTATATTTTTTATCAATTTATTCTTAATTATTCGAGTTATTTATCAACAGAGAATTCGACAATAAATTGTTCATTTACGACGTCATCGTAAAACGATTTTTCAACTATGAATTGTTTCATCGTTCTATACGGCATTTTGGTTTTCTGTTATAATTACAATATCTATTCAAATGACATTTTTACCATCTTTTATGATGAATAAAGTAGAAACTGTGCAATTTAGGATTTATTTTTATACCAGTTTTGTTACCATTCATATGTCTTCCAACATTTCCTGAATTGATTAGAATATTAATCAGTATTTTCAAAAGATTAAAAAGGAACATTATACTATAGTTATTTAACGATAGATAAACCGTATTTTATTTTGAATAAATGTGATTTAATTAACAATTAGTTTCTAAAGAACACAATAAAATAGTGTATATTCTACAACTATCAACTAATAATTAAATATATGTACATCAATCAATTGCATTTTCATTAAAATATCTTATGAGGATGATTGCCCATTCTGAATTCATTCTTCCACTTCTTTCGGCTAAAGTAAAAAAATTCATAAGTATAATTGAATGAAATGAGACAAAAACTGATAATTTATACATACCGACTGGAAAACCAAATCTAAATAAACAAAACTAATATATTAGCATACAAAACAAAATACTCTTTATCTTACTTTAACTTGTCGTTCATTTAAACCTAATCTACGAGCAAGTTGAATACGTCCACGACGTGTCATATATCTACATATATATATATTTTGATAGATAAATCGAAAAAATTTTTTTTCCGTTACTTAGTATAAAAAAAGTCAATTTCTAATGCAGCTATTTGAGCACTCGTGAATTGTCGTTCAATACGTTGATGTTTACGATTCGTTTCTAGAAAGAACAAGAAAATTCTCAATGATGTTTGATGATAATGTTGATAGTAGATCACCATTAATTGATTGGTTTTGTTCATGATGAGATGTGGCTATTGCCATTATATCCAAATTTGAATTTGTACAAATATAAATGCGAGTATGTTTAGAAAAGAATGAGTCTAATGCAGCAACTAACTCTCGCTTTATATATGAATAGAGATGCAACGATTTTTAGGATATGACCTATGTGTATCATTTAACCGGTCAAGTATGTAAAGGTTAACACATGCTATGTATGTGGGTGCATTAACCTTTTGACCGATAGTTACTACCTCTGTTGCATTGAGTATTTTATATTGATGAATAGCGATCATCATATAGCCATTGAGATTGTCAGTACGATCAAAGAAAAAAAAGAAACCAAAAGTGTCAATGAATGTGAATACTTTCGTTTCATAAAATTTAAGATAATGAAAATCTTCTATGAACTATAACATTTTGTCCAGTCATTTAGTTTGACTCTTCATTAGCAAGATAAAAGGCAAAAGTTGCTCTATCATTCGGCTTAGCCAATCGTCAACGAAGAATCTTTTGATACATTTCCATATGTTGCAGTACGGAGCTATTATTCCTTTGCTGATGATTTGTTTAGGTTTATGAATGGTGAAAAATATTCGAACTACGATTCGAGTTGCTCGTGATCGTTTAATAGCCACTGGAACAACAAATAATATTCAATCCGCTATTCTTATATATCAACTAATAACTCTAAATTAGTCGACGACGTTTTTTTACAAAGTCAAGTAAAAGGGTTTCTCTTTGTTGTTTTGTATTGGATATTTTATTAACATATTAGTATCAACAAGTAACGCTCATCTTTTGGATTCTCTGGGTGGGTGTTGATGATGCTAAATAATCTTTTGACTACACCCACCCTGTGCTGATCGACATATAATATCTAATCATTATATTTGTTACAATTCTCGATAGTAATACTTTACGAACATCAACAAAAAGTACTGAATAACGACAAATTGAATTATGTAACTGGTACATCTATTAGTAATGATGAATATTTTTTTTCTATTCTAATAAACAATTTATTCAAATATTAAATCTACTACATAACAATAAGAAGAATCCTAATAAAACAATATAATCATATCCATTTTATATAAACATCATTTTTAACTTGTTCAATAATAAAATCATTAAGTAATTTCTTTTCTTTAATTATTTTAGTTAAATATTCGATCATATCATTGGCAAACTTTGGCATAGAAATTGATAATAATCGAAGTTTATTATCTGTTTTTGATCGAAGATGACATAATATAAATCCTAAAAATGATTCAGCATGTTTATAATCTTTACAATGAACATGAAGATGATTAACATGAGGACAAATAATCATTAAAAAATAAATATCTGCCATTTGTTCAACATCACTAAAAGAAATTTTTTGAAAATGATTTTCATGAAATAATAAATATAATGCTTCACGTTCTTCATCACTCATAGATGTTGGATCAGTAAATGATAATCGAGATAATGTTAATGTTTCAATATCTGGTAAAAGAACTAAAATTTTATATAACTCTTCAAGAGAAATTGCTGTTGAGATTTGTAAATGACAGATTTGTGTAGTAGTCAATGCATGATAAACATGATCCTTAATACTGATTGATTCTACCCAATGTCCAGGTGACACATCAGCTATTTCAAATTCAACAAATTTTGATAATTGGTTTGATTTAGAACCATATTCATACCATTTTTTCCTAAAATAAATATAAATTAGATAAAAAAATAGAGATTTTTATTTTCTAATTTACTTATATGGTTGAATTGAATAAATTAAATGTTCAAAATCATTTTCAACTTTAAATATCCATCGACGTTCAATCCAAAATGTTGAACTAAATTCATTTTGTTCTCCTAAATACATTGGTGTTGTATAATTTTCCGAAAAATGTACCATTTTTTTAAAATAAAATTTTTCTAATTTTGATAAATTTTCTTGAAGAAAATTTTCCCATCGTTTAGCATTAAGATATGACATATCTTCATCTTTAATATCTAATGATAAAATTTTTAAATTTAATTTCATTTTTTTAATAAGAATTTCAAATTCATCAAATGTCATTTCATAAATTTCTATTGAAAGTTTTGTTAAATTTATTAATTCAATTGGTTCGATAATATTTAAATTATTCATATCAATAGGATTTGAAAATTTTAAATAACGATATTTGCGGTGTATATGATAACAAAGTAAAAAGATCTTTAATAGAACAACCATGATCCATAATAAAATATTCAATTGATGTTTTTTGTTGATCAGTTGCGATTGGTAATGAAAGAGCTATATTAAAATCTAAGCTATCAAATGATCCATATTTAAGATATTTTAATTTTGGTAGATTAAACATTAATTGATAAATATTAGTATGATTTTTTTCTTTAGCCCATAGATCAATTGTTAATGAATATAAATTAGATAAAGAACCTAATTGATGAATAAGTGATGATAAAATATTTGATTCAATAGGATAAAGATTAAGTGATTGAAGAGATTGAAATAATGATAGATTAGATTTAATTATTGAAATTATTTTACTTGTATTTTCACCGTATGAATGAATTGATATTATTTGACGATGGTGATAACGAAGAACTTCTTTGTAATTATTAAGAAAAAGTTCTTTTGGTTGAAAACGATCATCATCTAATTTTAATCGTGTTAATGAAGAATCGAGAAGTAATTGAAACGATTGTTAAGATTTGAGAATCCATTAAAAATTACATATGCATCGAAATATTCGAAAATTTCGTAGAATATTTCATTTGAGAAATGTTCGATTGTGGTTATCGACATACTACTAACTGAATGTTTTTCTTAAGACTGACTGAATATCGAAATCCATCGTTATTCTTTCTTCCTTCGTCTGTTCGATCTGGCTATATAAATAGTTTCTCGATAGATGTCCTACGTATAAATACAAGAAATACAATTTATTTAACTTTTTCTAAAGAAAATTTTTCTAATTTTGTTGGAGAAAATATTCCCATCGTTTAGGATTAAGGTATGACATATTTACATATTACTTCAGTTTTTTTTCGAATAAATATTATCTGACTAAGAATAAAGAAATTCAAGTTAAATCAGCCGAATGTTCTTGTAGAAATTAATAAAATGAAATAACAGATAAAACAAAGTTTTTTGGATTTTTTGAATCGCTTTGTGAATTTATTTGTTAATCCGAATTTCCCTAGAAAAAGTTTTCGTCAGAAACTAAATGAATGTTTGATCAAAATGAATAAATGTCAACTTTTTCTATTCAAAAAAGATTTTATTTCTTTTTTGTTGTATTAACTATGAAATTAATTAAGAAAAAAAACCTATTTTAATGTTTTTTGTGATTTTATTTTATCAAAAATATACAAAACAATAAAAGATTTGAAATATACAGTTTACAGCAGTGTTTAACTAATATAATGTTGACGAATAGATACTGGAATACCCGTGATTGGTTGATAATGATATACATCTAATGGAGTAAAATCTATTTCACGCTCAACGCCAATATGTCCATTCCATGGATTGACATACATTCCACTACCTTGTGTATAGATTCCATAACCATAATTACCAAAACCAATGGTCTGATAATCACCATTGAAGTTGTTGAGAAGATTTGGTTGACCAATCATTTTTATTATTTGAATTTAAGAAAAGAATTGATTAGAAGGATGAATTTGTTTGTTTGAATATATGAAACTATGAGAGAATATTGTGTGGTATTTATATTGTAGATACTGTAGGAGATTGACGTAATATTATTATACAGTACAATAAAAGATAAAAATAAACGTCTACAAAGTATGCACTATTAGAGGTGAATCGAGAATATTCTTGAATGTAAATTACGTAACGAATAGTTATTCTTTTATTAATCTACACCCTGTACTTTTAGCAAAGAATAAACTCATGGATACTCTTCTTACGTCAAACATCAATACCTGGTCGACGTTTATTTTTATCTTTTACTGTACTGTATAATAATATTACGTCAATAATGACGCTTATCAACGAGAATAAACAGTATAATTACGTCAATCTCCTACAGTATCTACAATATAAATATCACACAATATTCTCTCATATTTTCATATTTTCAAACAAACAAACTCATTCTTCTAATCAATTCTTTTCTTAAAATCAAATTATAAAAATGATTGGTCAACCAAATCTTCTCAACAATCTCAATGGTAATTATCAAACCATTGGTTTTGGTAATTATGGTTATGGAATCTATACACAAGAGAGTGGAATGTATATCAATCCATGGGATGGACACATTGGTGTAGAACGTGAAGTAGATTTTACTCCATTAGATGTATATCACTATCAACCAATCACGGGTATTCCAGCATCTATTCGTCAACATTATATTAGTTAAACATTGCATTGGTTAATTGTATATTCAAATCTTTTATTGTTTTGTATATTTTTGATAAAATAAAATCAGAAAAAGCCTCTAAAAGTTTTCATTAGAATTGTGTAGTATAAAAATAGGTATGAAAATGTGATAAACAAACTATACCTCCGATACACGTGTATTTTTCATTCGATCAAAAAGAAAAAAAACATATTGTGAGACGTAAGGATGAGAATGGATAAAGACGTCGACTATTATATTCACATTGTTACGTCCTCTAGAATTTACTACTTATTTAGCTGAATTTTATGATGGATACAGAAAAAAATTAAATTAAAATTTTTTTTTATAAAACTCGAAATGCTCTTTGAAAAACTTCCTGATTGAAACTCAAGTTTTAATTGTTTCATCAAAAACTGTAAGAACAAAGAAATTGACTTCAAATCCTATGTCACGAAAATATCAGTATCGAATAGATAGACGTTACTTGCAATGAATAATACAAACGTAACGATACACCTTTCTTTATTTATGACTAATCAGAAATAGATGTATATTATTAACACATCCGTTTCAGTAATGAATATCTAGTCTTTGTATAATGATGACATATGAAGATATTTTCCTAATCAATTACAAAATCGTCCAACAAACTAATGATTTTCGACGATCGTATATTATATATTGTTGAATAAATCTTTCGAAAATAAAATAATCGAAATCAATGTTTATTGCCTGTAAATAAATGTATTTTTTTTTTCAAGTTTTTACTTTGACTGCTACTTATTTCATATTTAAAGTATGTTGAGTTTAGAAATAAAAGTTTGCCTTAAAATTGTGATATGATTTCGATAGTTAATTTTTTATTACTAAGAGAAATTTAAGAAGTGAACTTCTGTTTCTTTTTTACTATAAGTGAAGATTATTTAAAACAGCTCCTCGATATATGAGATATGAAAAGTAAAAATATCATTATGAATGTCATGATTAATATTATTCTCTTTACTTTCATTGTCATTAACTACTTTTCATTGCAGTTGTTATAAGTGCTTTATCGATGAGAGCAAATAGTTTTTCACTTTGAAGAATAATATCTGCATGATTACGAAGAGCTACTCCGTCATCTTTTTTATATTGTGGTGGTAGTACAAA